ACTGCTGACCAAAAGCCTCTTCTCGCACTGAGAAGGTTTGAGCATTTATCACCACGCTTGCACAATCCGGGTTGGCAAAAACCTACCACCAACCAACATACGCATCGTTGCTTAAAAACCTTTGATTGGCAATTCCACCTATTCGAAAGACTGGTCAAATGGTCAGTCAGTGTTATTTGAGAAAATAACATAAGGTGGTGGTTTCTTTTTTTTATATGGAGGACTTTTTAGAATTTATTGAATAACGCAGCCAAAACAGAGGGCCAGAGCCGTATTATCCCTAAGGCAAACTAGGCCTAGGGCTAGTGCCTAGGGTTCCAGGTTACAAATGGGGGGCACGCGCGTCTTGTGACGTCGCGAAGTGGTGGCGGCAGCAAAAAAAAAATAATAGGCGCCTATGAGATGCTAGCCTATATAGGTGTGGGAGAGCCATGCTTCGGCACGAATAGGCCAGCTCGACCGGAGTAATACCACGGCCTCACAGAAAACCGACGTGAAGCAACGCTTGCGTCTTGTTTCGTCGTGCAAGTGAGGTTTTATTTCGTCGTCGGAGACCCTCCCCTTCCCCAATCTCCCCAATCCCTGAATCCACAACGATCCTCAAACTCCTAATCCCCAAAAAGCCGGTAACGCACTTGTAACGCCTCTGGTGTTCCAGGTGTCCATGGGCAACGCCGATTGCTTACCATCAGGTGATCCGTCTGCTCGTAAACCGGCTTATGCCATAAAAAAAATAGGGCGTTCTATAGGTTCAATCTGCCTCTGCAGAGGGCAAAACAGATTCTTTCATGACCTCATAAATTTTGGAGGTGTTTTTTGCGTTTTTTTTCGTCATAAACATGTGGATCGCGTTAAGTTAAAAAAACGGGCACTTCTGAAAACGTACTGGATAACTTAGGTATTTAACATAACTACCGTATTCTATGTATAACTGCATGATCTTGAGACGTCTATATGCAGTCTGCGTTCAAAACAATGAAAGGAAAACAAAATATTCTCAAGGAAATCCAGTATACATACCTATCTGTTAATTAATTGTTGTTTGTAACTGTATGTGTATATGTTACCTTCTGAATGTCATTTGACACTTTTATGTGCTTAATGTAACCTATAGATTAGATTAATTAGCAACATGTAAGTTGTACAAAGTAGGTTCCAAACTATGTTATTTTGCATTATGCCAGAGATTTTTTTTATTAATTTGGAACAGAATGGGTTTATGAGGGCAGAGGTGAAAACAGGTTAGTTAATTGGGTCATTTTGTGTGCTAGGGAGAACCTAGTATTATTACCGTCCCTTGAGGTATCATGGGACATTTTTTGAGGCAGTAATATCATCAAATGACTTGTCCTGCCTTAGCTGAGGTGAGAGGGAGTGTCATACTCTTACTGACTAAAAACCGCCCCATTACTACTCTTACTTTAAGTTGGGGCTCCAATACACAAGGATTGGATAGATAAAACCTTCTTTGGTCAAAATGTCAAATAGCAATCATTTAGTTTAGATGGTACACAATAATTTTACTTAGTTGTATTGTAACTTACAGAACTGTTTGCACCATGAAGGAAAAAAATTTAAAAGTTCAATAATTTGAGTTGTTTAAAATTAACACCATAAAATAATTGTAAATTCAGCCCTTGCTCACTTATGATGCAAAGCTAGAAAGTAGAAAGTGGTATGTTCTTACACTTAGATGAACATACACACCCATATTAAATACTTTGCATAAAAACATTAAAACTTAACTATGAAGTATTTTTTATTTATTTTTTTGGTAAATATACAGGAATATTGTTTTGTCTTGATTATGTTTTAGTAACCAACTTCCAAAAATAAGGTTCTAAGTTTGACATGTATAGATGTTTGTTTCGTATAGGCCGGGAGCAGACGTCGGCGTGTCATCACTGTAATGACAATTTGGAGGATACGGCGCGGCATACGCTCGAAGAGTGCTCTACATGGGCAGAGCTGCGTCGTGAACTCATTACAGTGCTCGGAGGGAATGATCTCTCATTGCCGACCGTAGTGTGAGCTATGGTTGACAGTGAGAGTGCATGGGATGGAGTCGCTTCCTTCTGTGAACGTGTCATGTTGGCAAAGGCGGCTGAAAGGGAGAGGGAGGCGTCCAGCTCTCTCCCTTCCCGCCATAGGCGAGACCTGCGGACGACTGATTAGGGGAGTCAGTCGTCCGCTGTATGGGCGGGAGTAGGCGTTAGCGGTGTGTTCACGCGCGCCACTCGAGGAAGGAAATCGCAGCTTTTGAGGGCTGCTACGTGGTGAGACCTGCCACAATTTAGTGGTAGGTCGAGGCCTGCCGGGTGCGGTGAATCCGCAAGGGCGTCCCGGGTCACGGCCACAGGCACAGGAGGAACACCGCGGTGGTATTAGCCGGTAAGAGTCCGGCACACCCCCCCGTCGTCCCCACGGCGTAGGCAGTCCATGAGGATTTCCATCGCGTTATAAAAAAAAAAAAAATAGATGTTTGTTTGTTCGTGATTATCCAATGATTGGTTGGACTGATTTGGATGCGGTTTTAGGAAAAGTATTGTCTCAATCAATGGTTGATTGTCATTGTAATTAAAATAAACTTTTTTAGTATAAAGTATTACTGGGTTTTTCAATATTCTCAGTAGTAGCACGCAGTCTGGAATTGTGCCCGGTATATGGCAATAGGCTCACCTCTTATTACATGGGACTCATAACATAAATAGTGAAAAGTGGGTGTTACATTATACAGTGGTGCACCTCTGCCTACCCCTTTGGGGATAATAGGTGTGATGTTGTGTTTACTTATGTGTTTTTTTAGTGTTATGACAAGTGTTAGATTTATAGTTTGATCCATCATCCAAGTACTTAAATGACCAAAACTAAAAATAAATCTGGCCAATCTTATTGGAATGTCGGTAGTAAAGTGGGGTGAATAGAATTCAAAGAGTGAATTTATAGGAATGGGGTTGAAAGATGTTAGAACATGGTCCAAGTTTTATAAGTAAGTTTTATAAGAAGGTTCGTTTAACTACTAACATAAAATATTAAATACGCTTACAATATTAAAAAAAAAGTTAGCTATTATATTATAACATGACAAACAGTCGGCTTACAAAGTTTATTACAACATAGGCTCATAAATAAAGTTAATCGTAATAGCTATCTCTAAAACTAATTATTTAGTAACACTTTCTCACGAATTAACGAAATAAGGTAACAAATTGCAACTTCACAATCACGATGGTCTCTCTTTAGAATTGTTGTTTTCAGGGATATAGGGTCATATATATACACGTAATATTATACTTTTAATATAGATTCAAAGTTGTTATCCTTACCGTTTCAACACGGCCTTGTTTCATAAACTTTCAAATAAAGGATGTGAACTTGTTGACACCAAAAATCAAAGTTTCTTCAAACACAACACGGCGACCAATACCGAATTAATATTACACAACCGAATATTTAAAGTACACAATTCTTAATTAATGATTAACTTTTTTAACTTTGTGACGTTGCTGTTACTTAAAGTTAGAAAAATAAACTTTTTTTGTATAATTTTCGGATTTCTCGTGCGTGCGTCAACCACTGCGTTCGAAAAGTTACTCAACTTACCAGCCGATAAAAATCGAGCCAACTCAATAGGGCAACAGATTAAATACTGTCACTTTTCTAACTGGCAACATTTTAAAATAAATTTTTAACAACATTTTAAAAATGTCCATCTACACATTACAATTTTTTTGAAATGCTGTGCGTCTAATATGTTTAAGACGCTAGATTTTTTTTATACGAGGGCGTAACTCTTGGTCTTCCTCCGGTGTGTACATATTGTTTGTAGGAACTAACATCGTCCTGACGCATTCTGGTGAACTCAGGTGAACTGGGTCACCGTGCTAATCTCAGTATAAATATTACATTACATATATCACACCACACATTTTGGCCCCGAAGGGGTAGGCAGAGGACAGTGTAGTTAGCGCCGTATCTACCGTATCAATTATACGGGGCCGCCAAACTACGGGGGGCCGCAAAATATGCGTAATATACCTATAAATTAATAAAAAATTTCTAATGTTCGATTTTATTTCAGTAATCAAACAAGTCAAACATAAAATTTTTCCAGCGTAGATACTTAAAGCATGCGTTCAAAAGTTGACACCAACTTTAGAAAAACTAAGTAATCATAGATAGTCCGATAATATGTGCAGAAGTTGTTTGGAATGTTTTCTGATTTTCATAAAAATTTACGCAAAAATCTTTTATGACAAAGCTTTACCTTTCTGAGGGGCCCACAATATTTTATACGGGGCCCCGCCAAGGCCCGCTGCGCCACTGGCAGAGGAGCACAATACACGTACGATGTAACACCCACTTTTCATTATTTATGTTATGAACTTATGAGTCCTATTCCTACGTAATAATTACATGCTCTGTGCTATGTAATAGGGGGTGAGCCTATGACGGTATAAATATAACACATTACGCTTTTTCATTACTATTTCCTTAGGGCCAATTCCCTGCATACGTATTACGTGTATTATGTACTCAATCGGATAAAACATCCACTTCCCGTTTGTCAGGTATTAAGTCCCATGACTGCACTAGTATTACAAAGAGAAAAGATTTTGTTGTGTATGTACACCTGTATTCTTATTGAGTCGCGGCGTAATAAATGGTTTTTCTTTCTTATTTTTTGTTTGTAATAGATAAATAGAAAACGATTCTTATCTTGACAATTAATGTCAAAAATTATCTTAATTGGTTTAGTTCTATCTGAAAGTTTCTGTAAAAAAACTGATCCAAAAATGCAGGGAAAATAAAATTATAAGGAAATAAAACAATGCATACAATAAAATTGTTTGGAAGCCCGTTTACTTAATTATTCTAATTATAACAGCCCAATATTATGTAATAATTTCAACTTAAGTATACAGATATAATACTAAATATTTATTTAATTATATTAATGAGGTGACATTTCGTTTTAATATATTTTTGTCTACATTGAACTAATTTGCTTTCGGTGGCCTGGCTCCAAAAATCACAGATCCAACACGAACTGTTGTAGCTCCAAGTTCAATCTGAAAAATAAAATTAAGTACTTGTAAGTTGCGAATTTATGAAGTTCTTGATTGAATGAGAATGTCCGTAAGTAATTTGCAGCTTTAAAAAAATAAAATTCTCATTAGAATCTGGATCATAATAGAACTCAGTTGACAACTACAAAGTTAACAACTGTCTTAATGCCACTGGGACATTAACCAATTTATCAAATAAGGTAGTAAATAGGAAGAAAAAAACTTTAACATTTTTTTTTGTTTTTTTTTTTTTTTTTTGGAAGACAAAGTGTTTACAGAGACATACGCCGTTAGGAATTTTAGACGTGGTCCATAAATTGTTATTTCGGGTCTGTATAATTATGATTGACCAACTCGTTGGCTGAGTGGTCGCAAGGAATCTCGGGTTCGATTCCTGGGCGGGGCAAAATAACACCGAGTTTAAAAAAAAATCGTAGTAGTAGCACGGAGGCTGGGATTGTGCCCAGTATATGACAATAAACTTACCCCCTATTACATGGGACCTCATAACATAAAAGTGAATAGTGGATACATTGTACAGTGGGGGTTAAAAGACATGATGTTATGTTATAATGTCATGTGTACATGTGAAATTGTTTGTAGGTAAGCATACCCAAAGCCAAGACACTTAGAAAATTCTAGTATAGAACCAAGTTTAAATGAAAGGGAATTTACCGCATGTTCATAGTCTGTAGACATTCCCATAGATAATTCCACATTATTAATATCAAGGTTCAGGTTTTCACAAACTTCTTGCCGACATTTTACTAGGGTTAAGAAGTCTGGGTTTGGCCCTTGAGACACATCATAGTCATATTGTCCAATAGTCATCAATCCTTTAAAATCTAGATTGGGGCAGTTCTTCAATACATATTCAACCACTTTTGTTGTTTCCGAGGGCTCAATTCCATTTTTAGCTGTAAACATAATATAAAATTGTTAGACATAATAATATGCAGGTGTAAACTTGAAAATTCAAATTAATACAATGAAGTAAAATACATTTCTATTGTGGGAGAGCCCTGCTTTGGCACGAATGGGCCAGCTCGACTGGAATGATACCACAGCCTCACTGAAAACAGATGTGAAGCAATGCTTGCGTTATGTTTCGTCATGTGAGTGATGTTACTGGAGGCCCAATTACCCCCCTCCCCTTTCCCAATTTCCCCAACCCCTGAATCCCTAACGATCCTTGAACTCCTAATCCCCAAAAGGCCAGTAATGCACTCGTAACGCCTCTGGTGTTCCAGGTGTCCATGGGCGATGCCGATTGCTTACCATCAGGTGATCCGTCTGCTCGTTTACTGGTATATGTAAAAAAGACTACTGTTTTGAGCCGTTGGGGTCTAAACACTTAGGCCATGGTATAAAGAAATAGCCTATAGGCTAATAGACACTACTTGTGACCAGAGGGCACAAACAGATGGTATTTATTTTTCTTCACTGTTTTAGTTAATTTCAAGTTGTATATATTGATTCATAATTATTTTATTTGAGTTTATTAACTATTTGTCAATAAAATTAATTTCTAGAACTAGCTAGAAATAACAAAACATTTTTGATTACATTTTGTTTTATAGTAAAGATAAGGGTTGTGGATTATCTAATGTCATGGTCACACACAAATATGAGGCAATTAGGTTAAAAACACAATAACAATAATTATGTAACAATAGAAACACATTGATACCTTCTTCCGCACTTGTATTGATCTGCACCATAACAGGTAACTTCTCATCACTTTTCCTATATTTAGGCCATTGCTTATTTAAGTTATCAGCTAACTTTTCAGAGTGAACAGTCTCCACCATATACAGATTCGGTGATCCAAGTAATTTATTTATCTTGTTTGTTTGCAAATGTCCAATGAAATGCCATTTTATATCCTTGCATTTCTCAAGTATGAGGGGGTCGCTGGCTTTTTCAGCTAATTCATTCACATAGTTCTCCCCGAAGTCCCTTTGTCCATGCTCATAGGCTTCAACAATCAAAGCTGCTGGTTTTATTTTAGATACAGCCACCAGTCTTGGTGCAATCTGTGGTAAATTCTGTAACATAAAAAGAGGTTATTATAGTTTGGTTCGAATCGGTCTGGAATAAAATACCTACCTATATTGTTGATTCAATGAATATAAAAATTATGATGAAAGATAGTAAATGGCTTGTAGTTATTAAAATGAAATACTTATTATTAAAAAGGTATACACACCGCACTGCGCCTGGCGACAGCGGCTTCAATCTTCGATAATACATTCTTTAAACCAATCATAACGTTAATATCTTGATCTGATGACATAATTCAATGAAATAACACTTTTCGTTGTTGTTGCTGGTTGAAATTGAAATAAATACGAAGTATTTTGACAGACTTGTTATCACCTATCAGCTATCAGTATTATTGATCTTGCTTGTGAAATGTTATTAATCGATAACAATCATAGATGTAATTTACCATCAGAGATTACAATTAGAAACAATAAGATGAAGAATAAAAATTAAACGCATTTTCTACAAATAGTAATAGCTCTAGGTTTATTTAATCATTTATAATGGTTTGAACATGGTTTATATTATTTACACCATTTTATCACAGCTGATCTTTTACTAATGGTCGATTTCCGAACAAAAACTAAACGTCAATCTTATTGGAATGTCAACAACTGATTCTGACAACTTGTCAAATCGTCGACTTTATGGTTATCGATTGGTGTACTTCATATTTGTTTGCGGTTTTCGCGATATATATTCGTTTATAAAACAATAAATCATCGTAATTATGTGCGAAAAATGTACTAAGAATTGCGACTGATAAACAGGAGCTATGAACGTATTAGAGAAAGCTGAAAAGGCTTTGGAATTCTTAAAGGCAAATGAGAACTCAGCGAAGTGAGTATTTTTGCATAATTTTTCCGTTTTTGGCTAGAACTGTGCGATTTATCCTTGTGTGTTTCCGTTATAGGAGCCATGAGTTGCAGGCAGCGGCTGGGACACTCGGTCGTTGTTTGGGAGCTTTAGGGAGCCGTTCAAACTGCGCTCGTCACTATGCAAACTTGCTGCATTCAGCTGCCCCTACGCTTCTTTTGCTAGCCAGTAACGACAGCGTAAGTTACCTTGAATGTTTTTAAGCGAATAAATAGCGTGAAGGATTATTCAACAATGTTATACAATAATTAGTTACTGCACTGGTGAAGTGTATCAAATAAATTGACAATGAGTGCTAAATTTTTGTTAATTACGCATTTCAGAAGTTAGATACAGTGCTAACTATAGTCAGAATTTTAATTAGATTCCAGATTTGACAATAGCTACTGTCATTTTGTGAAATAATGATACCACATTTAATAGTGTAGTGATGCACACAAAAATCGATAAACAATCAGTGTGTGTGTTTTATAATAAATGTAACAGAAAGTCACAGGATAGCGATAGCGATGACGGCGACAATTTATAAAATAACTTATTACCATAATACATCTATCTGTTTTATTTGTCATGTTCCTTCATGATTACATTTTTTTATTTATTTCACACATAATTATAAAAGAAAAGTCTCAGATCGTTAATTAATCGTCAAAACTAAATTATCGGTTCAGAAATATTTAATTACCTGATAAACTTAGTTTACGAGAGTAAAATTATAAACGAGAAGAATCGATCCAGAAATATTGCATTTCCATATCGAATAATTTCGCAACGTCACTATTTAGTACTTGTCATAACGTTGCAACACTGAAATTGTCAAATCTGGAATCGAATTAAAATTCCGAGTATAGTAGTAGTTTTACTAATGACTAATTAATGTACTTTTATAGTCTTTTATATGATGTGGATATTATCATTGATTTAAAAATAAATTTAGGAATTAATAGTTACAAACTGGCTAGTTAATAATTTATTTTTTCTCTTATCAATACCTCTCCATGACTTTCGAATATTGTCGTAGCCAGATTCAATAAGAATATTAATAACATGGTCTATTCTTTTTAAACCTAAACCATAAATAAAATATTTAGGTACCATAAACTTGATTGTATAACATTCAGCCATTTATATTTCTTTACAGGCTGAAGTGCGCCTTGTGGGTGACGAAGCACTAAACAGAGCTGTAGTAGGAGGTTTTGCATTCCATTCCCATAAAACTAATATTGTCTTGCAAAATCAGATAGATTGTACAAGGAATGCAAGGTACGTACAAGATAATTTTTTTTTTGTTAAATATGATTTCTTATAATACTTGTCTTTTGACAAATGCCAACAGATCAACCTGTTTTGGTTTGGCAATTTTTTGTTGGTTTTTCTATAAATATATTGTAACCAATAAGGTTGAAAATACTTGTTGAAAATCATCCCCTAAATGTGTTCATACAAAAGTAGTCTCTAAACATTGGAAATAAGGTCTATAATGTAGTTAGTGGAGAGCAGTTCGACCGCTTGGGGATATACGGGTTAATGTATAATAGCTTATGCTCCTACTTATAGTTTCCATCTAACATAAATAAATAAAATAAATTCTGTTCTTTGAATGGCATAACATAAACATAATTTAATCTATTGAAAAAGAATGTCCTCATTATGTAGAAAAACCGATATTGATTTATTTAAATAATAACAATTAATTCGAATAACTTTTATATGAGTCTTGATAGAAAACAATTGCTTTGTTTTTGAAAATATAAAAAAACATATAATAAGTGTATGTAACTATGTGTATTCAAAATCCCATTGGTAATTGACTGCACAGTTGGTGCGGTGGCTGGGCAATCGGCTGTGGTGCAATGTGTCGCGGGTTCGATTCCCGCACGGAACAACACTGTGTGTGATCCACAAATTGTTGTTTCTGGTCTGGGTGTCATGTGTATGTGAACTTGTATGTTTGTAAACGCACCTACGACACAGGAGAAAATCCTAGTGTGGGGCAACGTTTATTTTTAAAATCAAAATCAATTGTATTTCTTTTTGTTCAGATGGATCCGCGCAGCTCTGTCTCGAATATGCCTTGGAGAATGCTGGCTTCGTCCTGGTGTTGGCAAGATCAGGACACAGGCACAGACATTGTTTCCCAAACTAAGTCAGATAGTGCGACAAACAACCGAGGTTCCGTTAATAGTAGAAGCTTTGGAGAACAATCTACCAAGAATACTGACCGCATTAGCGGAGTACACTACAGATGAAGAGATTTCTGGTGAGTTAGATGACAGTTTAATTGTATGTAGGTTCATTCTTGTCTACAGATATTTGTGTTTTTGTATGTATGTATGTGTGTTTGTAATGTTTTCATATAAAAACTACTTGACCAATTTCAAAAATTCTTTCACCTTTTACCATTAGAAAGCTGCTTACTCAGCGGCATAGGCCATACATTTAAAAATACCTGCTGCAATGTTTTACACACCTGACCCCAACCTCCCCCCCACACACAAACCTGACCCCCAACCTCCCCTCCCCACACTCACCTGACCCCATCCTCCCCCCCACACACATCTCACACCCAACCTCCCTCACACACACCTGACCCCTACCCTCCCCCCAACCTCCCCCCCACACACCTGACCCCCACCCTCCGGCCCCACACACACACACCTGATATTGTGCAGAAGTTAGTGTGTTATAAAATGGGTTCGCAATAAACTGCTGTACGACCGGTGGCGCGAATCAATTAATTCTTTGTGTTATCCAAAAATTGTATTTCAGGTCTAGGTGTGTATGTGAAATTGTATGATTGTAAACGTACACACGACAGGAGAAAATCCTAGTGTGGGATACAAATCAAATAAAAAAAGTTATTACTACAACTCTAAATGTTTTTTTTTAAATTATTTTCAGAATTATCAAAGGCTTTACTACCTCACGTGGAGACGGCGGACCCGGCGGTGAGACGTGGTATATCTACGTGCGTCGCCCACTTGTGTTCACATAGAGAACCGTTACTAACCAACATATTAGCTAGAGTTTTTGGTGAGTCTTTGTTAAGAATAATTATGAAATGGTTAAACATGTGACTGCCTCGTTGGCTGACTAGTTGCAAATGTGACTGCCGGGTAAGGGGTCTCAGGTTCGATTCTCAGGTCGGGCAAAGTATTACTGGGTTTATAAAAAAAAATCTTAGTAGTCTGGAATTGTGCCCGGTATATGGCAATAGGCTCACCCCCTACTACATGGGACTTATAACATAACCTCTTGTCTGTTGAAAGTTGCGGGTATAATGTGTTTTATACCGAGAGCCGGTGTTTCAACAAATAGTGAAAAGTGGGTGTTTCATTGTACAGTGGCATTAAGCGCCGTAATGTGCATCTCTGACAACCCCTTCGGGGATAAAAGGCGTGATGTTATCTTGTATGTTGTTGAATTTACATGGTTGATCATGGTTTGTTACAGAAAAGCTATGGCCTCTAACATCAGACAGTACAGTGGTGATGGGATGGTTTTGTGTAATTAAAGCCATCTTCCAAATCAACGATATTACGAAGTTTTCCGAAAACGATTTGTTCGGCGTTCGAGATTATTTAGAGGTAATTATTTCTGTATACATATGTATAATAGTAGGCAGATAAAGAATTATTGCGATTTTCTATTTCGACACTTCAAGTAAATTCGTAGTTTTTACATGTGAATGAACTCTCTGCCTACATTCGTGTCATCATCCTATAAATGCTCACTACTGAGCAAAGCCTTTTCTCAAACGGAGAAAGATTGAGCATTAACCGCCACGCTTGCTCAATGCGGCTTGGCGATTTCAAACTTATAATTAGAAATTATAAGTCCAGGTTTCCTCACGATGTTTTTCTTCACCGTTTGTCAGTGGTGTATAAATAACCTTAGACAGTACATGTAACTCAGAAAAAGTCACATTGGTGCTTCTTCTTTTGAACCCGCGACCATTAGAATCGGGCGGCTCACTCTCCGAGACACCACGAGATTCGTGTCTGAAAAAATGATTAAATGGTCTTCAAGAGGGTTGGTTACCTCTTAAAACTTACGGAATAAAAGCTGAAACAACGTTTGCGTTGCGTTTCGTCGTGTGATTGAGCTTACCGGACGCTCAACTCAATCCCCCCACATCGCCCTCAATTCCCCACCTCCCCCTTAAACCCCGCCTCTCAACACCGCTCCCCCACAAAACCCCTGCCCCTCAAAACCCCCTCCCCTCAATCCCGCCAGCCCCCCTCTCCAAGCCTCTAATCCCTAACCCCCAAAAGGTCAGCAACACTTATAACTCCTCAATTAATGCAGGTGTCCTTAGTCGGCGTTGATTGGTTACCATAATCTGACCTGTTTGCACCCCTATACTTACCATTAAAAGATACCTTATTGAAAATATGTATTTCAGCTTTACTACATCTGCATACACTACATAGAAAATGCGAAGGAGCATAACGTTCAGAATGCAGTGATGGAGTGTTTCACCGTACTATTGTCTCTGGCATCCGGACAATACAAGGTGGCGTTGCTTGATAGACATCCGAGACACGTGTCCTTAGATAATACACACAGTGAGAAGGGACATAGGAGGAATATTAGTAAGTTTTTTTGTACGGTGAATAAAATTTTTCAAATTACCTTGTTGGCCAGCTAAAGTATTTAGAAAATGGTTTTATTGATATTAGAACAGTCTAAATAGACAATTCCTTACAAATCATGGTGAAGTGGACCTCATTTAGCTGGCGGCAGTTAATTTAAACTGTCAAACACCAAGCGGTCACCGGTGACCGCGACCTATTGTTCTTTAATTGTGTCTATAAAACCGGTACTCGACGAGTTAAAAAAAGAAATAAAACTAGATTAAATAATTAATTGAAAACTTGCGTCTTTATAATTCAAAGAAATTAAAGCTTCAAAACAGCCAATTTTCAACTTTATTGTTTTGCATTAAAGTCGAATATTCCCAAATTGCAGGTACATCAAGTATAATATCATCACGATATGCCCCAAGTCCTCAGGCGGAATTAAGGGATCCTTTGGAGCTATCCTTCTCTGGTGCTTTGCAACTTGGCAGTCTGTTGCAGTTTAATACACCAAGCTTAAGTGTTGAGGATTTAACTATACAGGTGAGTTAACCAATCCAGAAAAGAGTTTGTTACACTTAGGATTTAGTATATTAATTAACCGAATTAAAAAAAGAGGGCGTTGAATTCGGTTTTTAAACATAGTTTATGAAAGAAATATTTTTATTACTTTATAGTCACGTATAAAATGAACTCCTGTAGGATTGTGTCATGGTCTCTGAAAACTGTATCAAAAAATGTTAGTATATTGTTAAAATTATATAGGCGATACACTGACATTGAAATTGTAACTTAATCGTCTTGTGTTTAAGTTACACATTTCTTAATCACCTTAAGATCTAATCCTAAGTGCACAATCTGTATACAAGTCCACTATACACGCGAGCCTGCGGACGGCGAGCATGGGTGGCTGGCCGCTCGACCAGAACCAGACCCGAGCGTACGGCGCGTTGCGTTCCGCGCGCGCCTCAAAGAACCATCAGACCACCACGGATGGGGCCCAATAGGGCTGATGCCGATACGGAGCCGTGGAGAACTTAACGGGTTACTGGGGCTCCGGCTCGAAGTACAGGAGTAGGGACGGGGTGGTTATTAGTCAGTAAGAGTCTGACACTGCCTCCCGTCTCACCCAGGCGGGAGAAGTCATTCGATAATTTTCCCTTAAAAAAAGAAGTCCACTATACACACATTGGTTTCTTCCAGACACCTGATTCACCAGCGAGTGACCAGGAAATGGAATTACCTAATTCAGAACAGCTATCTAAAGATTTAACTCATAAACTACAAGAAATCGAGGAGACGGAAACAAAGGAATGTGATCAAATTGATCATGGACCAACTGTATTGGATGGAGCGATGAAGGTTAATCATTCGTTCGTTCGTTCATTCATTCATTCAGTTATTCCTTCATTCACCGCTTTCATTCACTTTTGGTTTTATTTAGCTTAAGCACTGCTTCGTCCTAAAATAGTTATAAGCTGGCTATTGTTCTATATGAGGTCTTAGATTCAATTACTGTCGGTTAAATAAAGTGAGATGTTTTATAAAGATCCAACTGATAATCTCCAAGAAATTGAAATGGATTCCTTCATTCGCTTACTCATTCATTATTTCATTCACTCATTCATTCATCGCTTCTCTTATTCTTTACTTTAGTAAAACTAACGCCTGATTACTGAAAGGTTACTTAATTTTGAGTTGTACTCAAATGTCGTGTCATTTCAGTCATTTTATAAAGAACTAGCTTCTGCCCGCGACTTCGTACGCGGAATCCCGTTTTCTCCCGTTCCCATAAGATTTTGAGGATTTTTTTCTATCATAAGAAGGTTCTTATTGTCAGGAGAAGGTATCCTGACAATAACAAACACAACGTAATAAAATCAGCGAAATCGGTCCAGCCATTCTCAAGTTATGGCGTGACAACGGGAAACGGGTTTCAATTTTATATATATAAATTTGTAATGACTTGAAATTGAGTGGACTTTCAGTATTCGGGGCATCTGAGTTACTTTCATTAAGGTTTATCATTTGCATTGCTTCGTTCTGAATTCGATTCGTGTGCTGGTAGATCTAGCTTTTTTAATCTTTTAACATTGTAGTGTCTTGATAATAATTCTACTAATATGTATTATAAATGCTAAAATTGAAGATGTATTAGATGGATTTGGATTTTGGAATTTATTTGCGGGGTAAACCACTAGATTGTTAGGGAGGGTAATTGGGCCTCTGAAACCTCAATCACACAGTCACACGACGATACACAAAGCAAGTTGTTTCACGTCGGTTTTCTATGTGGTATTACTCCGGTCGAGCCGGCCCATTCGTGTTGAAGCTTGGCTCTCTCACACTTAAGTACATGTAACTCCTCAGGTGTTAAAGTGTCTATGGGTGGCACCGATTGCTTCCATCAGGTGATATGTTTGCTCGTATACCCCGGTATATCATAAAAATACTTTATTTCCTACAGATCAACATAGGTACCGCCAAAGATGATGATATCCCACTTAAATATGGCGCTCGTTTGCTGACCTCGAAGTTTCTTCTTACTGGAAACAAGGATGGAGTTATACCTGATAGGTAAGTCGACTTTAATAATTATATCAATCAACCGAGTGGTCGCTAGTGCGTCTGCTTTACAAAGGGTCTCGGGTTCGATTCCCAGGTCGGGCAAAAGAATACTGAATAAAAAAAAAATCTCAGCATGGAGTCTGGAATTGTGCCCGATATATATTGCAATTGATTTACCCCCTACTATATGGTACTCATAACATAAATAGTGAAAAGTGGGTGTTACATTGGCAATAAGCTCACCCCCTATTACATGGGACTCAACATAAATAGTGAAAAGTGGGTGTTGCATTGTACAGTGGCAATTAGTGCCATAATGTGTACCTCTGCCTAGCCCTTATTAAAGATTTTGAATGTTTTTAATTTTTAAAAACCTAGTAATATTTTACCGACCCTAGAATCGAACCCGAGACCCCCCTTACCTAGCAGTCGCACTTGCGACCCCTCGGCCACCGAGGTAGTCATATTTAAAATCGAGCCATGTCGTAATGGTAGAGTGGTATTCGTTAGCACTCCTACTCGTCCCGCTGGTATCGTAAAAACCGACTAAGGAACTACATATTGACAGATTGGATAACTGCAATCTCTAACAAATCTGAATCGTTCAAACATCAATCTCCAACCCACCTCCCAAGCGTGGAGATTATGACAATCCCCCTTATTTATATGAGGCTCATCATAATCCAACAGTGCGTCTAACAAATATTATGATAGTTTGTACAAATTGAACCTTATTTTCAGACAAGTAAGAGTGTCTTTAAAGTCATCGGCACTGAATTGTTTGTCGGAGATACTTCGGTTATACCCACAAGCGATTACGTTGTATTTGGATAAGGACGCTGACGCTAAGCATCATAACATTTCTGGTAAGTTTATTTGTCATTTCATTTTGCTTTGTATTGTGTTTTTTATGAAGTCAAAGTTAACTGAAAATCGCGGGTAACTCACATGAATATACAGAGATAAACTCTACTAGTTCCGAACCACAGAGGGGCTCTTCCTCATGAGCAGCGTGCGCAGTCGCGGCGATGTCGTACAGTCTGCTCGATGCCAGATTTTTAATTAATTTAGTATGTCTCACAACTAATAATGATTATGAGAATTAAAAGTTGTGTGGTATGGGATATTGATGCTTGTCTTACCTACTATCCTAAATCATCTCTTAGTTAAAAGTTACTTAGCGTCATGTAGCATCTAAACTAATCCCTTACTTGTACTGTTATGTGTCACTTATAGGTTGGTGAAAACGAAGATGTTGTTAAATATCACCTTTCTTAGTTTAGGGGTTCCTTAAAATTAAGGAGAGGTTAATACGTCATAAATCTATCTTCGATGTACAAACAGAGAAACATCTAGCTAGAGTCTTGAGATTCATCCTTTTTGCATTCGAACCAAATTCTAAAGTAATGAAATTTAATGAAATGCTAACACTAAGGATTTGAAAATACCTAATTACTTCCAGGGTCATCAGAAAACACAGACTCAAACCAAGACCATATAAACGACTTCATACTTGAAAGAAACGTGTGCTACCAAGATTCGCTAACAGACTCTTTAAGTCAGGACTTCCTTAACCGTAGCGTAGACAGCCAACAGGCAACACAATCCCATCAAATGTCTAAAAAAGACAGCAAATCAGAGAGCACAGAACTAAAGAGCTCCAAGGATGTCCCAAGCAACATTTTGGACAGCAAAATTTTTAATAAGGGGGACCTCCTTGCAAGCGCTACAACAGACAGTACCAACCCTAACATGACGATCAGTAATTTCACCACAAATTCAAATATGACTGGCAGTAATGACCCCTTGTCGACTGGGTACCCAATGTCCAGTAGTGGGGATGTTCTATCCTCAAGCATTGACCTTGATATGAAATTCGACCATTTTGGCGAGTCTACCACTAATTTAGATCACCTAGATGCCTTAAAAGATTTTGAGAAAAAAGAGGAGAGAGTCAAACGGCCTCTTAAGCGTACCGATGAGATCCAAGAAAAGGATTCAGTGGAAATTGTTAGCCAAAATGTTAGTGAAGATGTGAAAATGGTTGATGTGTCAGAGAATTTTGAATTTCAACATCTGAGTGATGTTTTCACCCTTTTGGAAGGTCATAGTGACCCTCAAATTCGAGGGTTGGTTAGAGTCTGTATTGGAAGTTATTTGGTCGCTGCTTTGGACCTCTCTCATGGGCACTATAGTAGGTGGAGAAGTTACAGTGCCCTACCAAAAGACGTGTCGGAATTTATTGCCGTGGATAAACTTATTGGTATTGTTTTGAAGGTAAGAGAAATTATAAATACTTTTTGGTAACGGCAGAGTAGAATACTTTGACACCACTCGTATTATTTCCGTGAGTATCGTAAGAGCTAACCAAGGAACCTACTTGCTAAATAGAAACCGTGCAGCACCACTCACTTTTACAAGATTTTATAAATAAACGCAAGTTAACACTTGCAATGTGTGTATTTAAGTAGCTGTGTGTGAAGTGAATTTTGAAGCAGATATTAATAACCATATTTCAACTTAACTCGTTGAGTACCGTATTTATAGACACAATTAAAGAACAATAGGTTGCGGTCACCGGTGACAGCTTGGTGTTTGACAGTTTAATGTTGAAATTTTCTTATACAAGTTTAGTTTACATGGCCATTATTGACCAAAAAATGTGTAGCTGCATAAAAGGTTGTTTTTGAAAAAGTTATACTTTAATTTTTTTTTATATCTGAACCTCCTAAACTGCAATCGAAACAATACCGTGTTCGGCGCTCTGATTGGCCGGCCCAAATGAAACAACCATTAACAGCATCGAACGTGGTCTCGTTTCGATTACTTTGAACGTAGAATAAAACAAATTCATACCAAGCCCTCTGTTGATGTTGACTTTTTCTATAAATTTTCAGGGTCTGTCTGATGACATTCACTCTACAGTGAACTATACTCTATCATCTCTTACGTCTCTATCCACGGCTCTATGTAACAGTTCGCATTGGGCACAGATCGTCGATGTATTAAACGCTCTCGTCAATGTAGAGACCAACAACTACTGGTTGTGTAGAGTCAATTTATGCAAGTTGTATGAAAAGCTGCCGTATCAGAAGTGAGTAGACTTTTTTTGTTATTATTGTTTTTTTTTTTTTCTTCTTTGGCAACTGAGTCTCCAAATTTATTAATACGGTATTTTACAAATCGGCAAATTCATTACTTTTATTGATATGTCAACAGACATATTATGTATGAAAAATTATCGATAATGAAGTTTAATGTGATATCAATGAATTAAAGTATGTATGATTATTTTTGGACATTTGATGAAAGTCAAAGTAATTATATTTTTGGACTTACTAACGCCCAAATAATTAAAGGCTACTCTTTTTTTTTAAACATTGCCACACACTTTTATTTTCTCCTGTGTCCTTCGGAACAATAATTTGTGGATCACACAAAGAGTTGCTCCGTGCTTGAGTCGAACCCGCGACACGTTGCATGGCAGCCAGTTGCCCAGCCATCGCACTAATCCGTGTTGTCAATTGTACTTAAATATCGTGCCGTCTTTGTCATTTTACAAAGAATTTGTAGAGACAGAACTATACTTAAGCGCAAATTGAGTGGCGTTAGAGTTTTGGTTCTATCGAGACGATTATGAATGCGGTTTTTGGTGTTGTTCTTGAGTAGGTTATTATTGGGTTTTATTTTTAAAACGTCGATTCTTGCCCCCAAATTGTTGTTCTAGGTCTGGATGTAATATTTATTTGAAACTGTAACCGCACACACGACAATGGATATAATTCCTGTTCATCGTTTAACAAACTATTTTTTTTTATTATAGTTTCACTTAATTACTGTCTTGTTACAGATTGTACATGCTATATCCTATGTATTATATACGAAGTAAACTGATTTTGGACACATTAATTCGCTTGCTCGGGGATCAGGACCAAAAAGTGCGGAATGCGGCCGCTCAAGCGATAACAAAGTAAGTAGACATACTATATCGTCGTGTCGTGTTGTGGCTTAATAAATAGGATTCCTTTCTTTCTTTCTATATTAACCTACTATATAAAAATAAGTCAGGTTTTCCTTCCTGACGCTATAACTCTAGAATGCACGAACCGATTTCCACGGTTTTGCATTCGTTGGAAGGTCTCGGGCTCCGTGAGGTTTATCCTTACTAATCCTTACTATAATATTATAAATAAGAAAGTGAGTTTGTTTGTTTGTTCCGCTTTCACGTCGTAACTACTAACCCGATTGCTTTGAATTTTTGCAGACGTAAAGTTAGAAGTCCGTATTAAATAATAGGGTACTTTTTAACGCAGAAAAATGTGATATTCCCGAGGGAAAACAAAAGTATTGGTATAGATGGCGATGTGTGTATTAGTATATGTCTCATAGGCTACTTTTTATCCTTTTGTGACGCGAGCGAAGCCGCGGGTAAAAGCTAATATAATATAAAAAAAAAAGTTCTTCATCTCTTAATCACCAAACGAAATGTTACATAAAACGAAGCCATCAAAAGGTGGCGAAACGGAGTTTGCCGGGTTTGCTAGTTAAATCGAACTCACGAGACGCAATTGAAAAAATCTCTACTAATTTCAAGTCACATAGGAGCTCAAATTCATGGCTGATCGCACTGCTGACCAAATGCATTTTCACGCACGAAGAAGGTTTGAGCATTAATCACCACGCTTGCTCAATGCGGGTTGGCAATTTCAAACTTATAATTGGAGATTATAAACCCAGGTTTTCTCACGATGTTTTCCAGTAGTGTCTAGATAATATTAGGAAGTACATGTAACTCGGAAAAAATCACTTTAATTTAGTACTTGCCGTTGATAGGTTTCGAATAGGCATGTAAAGCGGTTGTCTTAAACGTCCGGGCCATCACGACCTTATGATTTAAAATGTAGACTACTGTGTAAAATATTTTACTCTAACAAACATTTTTATTCCACAGCATTATACCAATAATAACACCATCAAGACGTGATTCCCCTACTTCCTTAGTATCCTACGTAGCTAAGGAACAAAGTAAACAGTTCACATTTGATCATGCAGGCTTAGCGTTGGATTTAGTACGAAATATATACTTCTATAGCGATCTACCATCACAACTAAAGGAGGGCGAAGAAATGAAAAATATTAATAGTCTAAGAGCTGTTGTTGGGAAGTTGATTGGGAATCTAATGGCTTCACATTGTAAATATTATACGGTGAGTTTTACAATCTATTTATTTATGTTTGTGAAGCTTGCAATGTATGTTTGTGAAGAATCTCGCGTGAATTTTGTAGCAGATGTCTTCAATCGATTGAGCTGATATTTTGTATACACGTTTAGTTTGCGTACACGCACGCAAGTGCGACTGCCGGGTAAGGGGTCTCCGGTTCGATTCCCAGATCGGGCAAAGTATTACTGGGCTTTTTAAAAAATTCTCCGTAGTAGCACGGGGTCTGGAATCGTGCCCGGTATATGGCAATAGGCTCACCCCCTATCACATGGGACTTCAACACAAAATCATCAGTATTCAATTGGAACCAATACTTCCTTAGATAACGAATTTCTGGCCATGCAAACTAAACATAACATCATGCCTTTTATCCCCGAAGGTCTAGGCAGAGGTGCACATTATGTCACTGTACAATGTAACACCCACTTTTCACTATTTATGTTATAGTCCCATGTAATAAGGAGTGAGCCCATTGCCATATATCGGGCACAATTCCAGACTCCGTGCTACGACTGAGATTTTTTTTTAAATCCAGTAATACTCTGCCCGACCCGGGAATAATATTAGATTTTATATAATCCATATTTTATTTCTAGCAAGGTCTTCTAGAAGCTCTCCAGTCGATATGCAAGCGGTGGTCGCCATGGAAACACATGGACGCATACTCCGACCAAGGTTTACTGAGCTACTGTTTAGATAACCTTGACTACTGCAACGGTACGGTGATGGCGAGGACTATATTTATGGACCTTTGTTCTTTGGTGTACCCCGGTAAGATAATATGAAGTTTTTTTTTTACTTTGCCTTTAGGGCACTGTAATGTGTGTCTTTTTGTGTAGAAAATAAAGTTCTTTTTTGTGAAGTGTGCGAGTTTGGATAAGATTATCATAGGTTTGAAAAACAAAATTATAGTATGAAAAGTCTAGAATGAACTAGATATGGATCCGCTTAGATACGAACTAGATATGACCGCTTCGTCACGTTTCGATTGCCATAAAAAATAATTGTGCTTTGTAGTTCATAATCTGTTTGTAATGACAAATTTCTAATGTAAAAAAGGTGTTATATGATTAATACTTATTTATTTACTTTCCAGTCGAAATCCACAATATAATGCGTCATAAAACCACAAACAGAGATATATTTGAACGTGATACACAAAATGCTAAAGAAAGATGGCAACACTTAGAATGTGAAAGGGTTGCCAACCTAGCCGAAAAGTTTTTACAGGTGACATTGAAAATGTTGAACGTTCTAGTACACTTGATAGAGGAAGTTAATCCTAATGTCCATTTGAATAAGGGCGGTATTGCCTTGCCTGGGAGTCCGGTTAGAAGGAAAACACAAGGTAATTTTATTTATTTATAGAATTTGTGTTTAAAACGTTAGGTTTGTTTATGTAGATTTTGTATTTAAATGAATAAATATATGTTTTATATGATAAACTAGGAAACGAGCAGATATAGCCTTAAAAAAACAATTAATACCCATAACACCAGATTAGTTCAAGGGCGTTGCCGGCCTTTTGAGGGTTAGGACTTTGAGGATTGGGAATTGTGGAGTTTGGTGAAGAGTATACCTCGGGTCTCTGACGTCCCTCATACGGCGAAACATAACGCAATTGTTGTTTCACGTCGGTTTTTACGCCTATCGTGGTCGTACCAGCTCATTCGTGCCAAAACATGGCTCTCCCACACTTATTTCTATTAAACCTTGAACCCACAAATTTAAAATTATATTTTGGTATATGCGGATCACAAGCATATACTTTCGTCCGTGCGTCACTGCAGGGGTGCCAACTGAAAATCATGTGTTGGGTGCTCATTGTGCCCAGCTTTAAGCTGAGTTGGCGACCCATTCGGTTTGGGCATGTCTGCCAACACCGCGCAGTATATCTATTTTTATTATCTTGTTTTAGTTTTATGATTTAGCTTTATGTCTTTCTCTCTCTCTCTCTCTCTCTCTCTCTCTCTCTCTCTTGTGTTAACCTTTTATATTGTTATTTTGTCAAATGTATATTTTTTGTTTTTGTTCCTTGCATGCATGCCGAATAAAACACTTCGTTCATTCATTTCATAATCTTTGTTTTAGATTCCATTCCCCGCCGCGGCAGCAATCCACCAGAGTTGGATGACAAAGGCTCTTTACGTAAAAGGCCGCCGCCGCCCGCGTCGAGTTTGAAGGCAAACTTCGCGGGACATTTCTTTAACGAACCATTTTATATGAAGTTCTATGAATCTCTTAGAGCTACATATTCTAATCATAAGGTATGTATGAAAATTGAATTATTTATTGAGTTGTGCACATGGGTACACAATCACAATCAAGTTATACGAAACCAGTATAAACTGACCGTCGAATATGCGATAAGATCATACTAAGTGAGATCATGATAAACTGGTTTAGTGTAGCTCGATATTTACATGGCGCACGTATATACCGAGTGGGTTTACTTTTAACTACAAAAGTTATGATAAATGAACGTTCAATATATGGAATAAGCCTCAATTTCGTGTATTATCCAACAGATCAACCTCGACCCAAAAACAAGTATATTCCACACATTCCTATCAACAGTACTGAACTCTTTATCTATACAACTAGAACTAGCAACTGAACGAGAAATCGGAAACGTAACGGAAGAAATACTCTACTATCTAAAGGTCATAATGCCTCTATGTCCAGACAAGACAGTTTATTGCATAACTCAATTACTTAAATGCCTTTTTGGAACCAACATGGTGAACCAATACTCCGATTTTATGAGCATATTTAATAAAAGTAACCCAGAAGACGTTACAAGCTTCTATAAAGACGTTATGATGTTGAATGGCTTGACTTTAATAAAGGAAGAATCTAGACGAAGTAGTACATGTTCTAATGCTAGTCAAAAATTGGCCTTGGATACTAAAAATCCCAGGATGAGCGCCGAAAGGCAGTTGTTGATGACTATGGAGAATTTTGCTAAGAATAAATCTGATAGGAAGTGGAATACTAATAAGAAGGAGTTGGAACGGTATATTCGACTGTTTGAGCCTGTTGTTATACAGGCTTTGAAGGTTAGTATGTTTTTTTTCTATAGTACAATCTTAACTTACAAATGTGAGCCATTTGAGAAAAGATTTACGTGAAGTGTTTATGTATGGTATTTGGAACTGGTAGAGCGTTTCTTGAAAAGTATCACGTGAGTGAGCAAACTGTATTTTCCATTGTTTGGTGATTTATTTGTTTTAATGATTAGTTATCAAGAAAATGTCATAACCAAAAGATGTTGGCTTGAAAGTCTGCATTGATTGTCTGCTATAGTTTGTTTTTGTGCACTTGCCTTAATCAAAAATAAAATATTTCGACTATTCAATACAATAAAATATTAACAAATAATCACACTTTCAACAATTGATTTTATGACCAACTTAATTGTAGTATTTTTCCAGCAAACTTATAATAAACTAGCTGTTGCCCGCGACTTCGTCCGCGTAGATTAATGACTTCTGACAGAATTAACCAGAATCAATTCAGTGCCCAAGTAAGATTTACCTATTTTGAAATGATTTATCGTAGTTTCAATAAATAAATAATCCCGCAGGGATCTTACCAGTACAGTGCCCGATCACGTAAGGTTTGAGTAATAAAAACTATTCTATCGACTATTGTTGTACCGAATCTGTCTAGAATAAGTTCAGTGGTTAAGAGTTAGAGAGTCCTGGGGCATTGACGCATAGTTCCCGTTCTCGTGAGACATCTTTGAAAAAACTATCATACGTTACCCAGGTCCTAAATCATCGTTTCACCGAATGTAATTCAAAAAGATTCAATGATTCTAAATTCAACGGCTAAGAAGATTTATACAAACTCTCATTCCCTATTTTATCCCCTTAGGGGTGGAATTTATCAAAATCCTTTCTAAAGAGATACCTATGTCATAGTAACTTTATGCATGCAAAGTCTCAGCCCGATCAATTTAAAACTGGCAAAGTATCATACAAACTTTCACCCCCTATTTTACCCACTTTGGGGTGAGAATTTACAAAAACCTTTCTAAAGGGACGTTTACGTCATAATATCCATCTGCACGCCGAATTTCAACCCGACTTACTCACTTTACAAACGTTCATCCCCTATTTTACCCCCTTGGGGTGGAAATTATCAAAATCCTTTCACAGCGGATGCCTACGTCATAACATCTATCTGCATGCCAAATTTCAACCGATCGTTTAAAACTGACAAAGTCTCATACAAACTTTCATCCCCTATTTTCCTACTTGGGGTGGAAATTATCAAAATCCTTTCACAGCGGATGCCTACGTCATAACATCTATCTGCATGCCAAATTTCAACCCGATCGTTTAAAACTGACAATGTCTCATATAAACTTTCATCCCCTATTTTACCCCTTGGGGTGGAAATTATCAAAATCCTTTCAAGCGGATGCTTACGTCATAACATCTATCTGCATGCCAAATTTCAACCCGATGGTTTAAAACTGACAAAGTCTCATACAAACTTTCATCCCCTATTTTACTCCCTTGGGGGTGGAAATTATCAAAATCCTTTCAAAGCGGATGCTTACGTCATAACATCTATCTGCATGCCAAATTTCAACCCGATCGATTTAAAACTGACAAAGTCTCATACAAACTTTCAACCCCTATTTTACCCCCTTGGGGGTGGAAATTATCAAAATCCTTTCACAGCGGATGCTTACGTCATAACATCTATCTGCATGCCAAATTTCAAACCGATAAGTTAAAAACTGACAAAGTTTCATACAAACTTTCATCCCCTTTTTTACCCCCTTGGGGGTGGAAATTATCAAAATCCTTTCTTAGCGGATGCCTACGTCATAACATCTATCTGTATGCCAAATTTTAGCCCAATCTGTCCAGCGGTTTGGGCTGTGCGTTGATAGATCACTATATCAGTCAGTCAGTCAGTCAATCACCTTTGAATTTTATATATATAGATAGATAGATGAGTACGCTGTTTGACGTTAAAAAACGAGACATCACAATACACAATCTCGTATAAAATTCATAGAAAACTATGATGTTTTTGACTGTTCAAAAAAAGTATTGAATTTAACTAGTTGGCAAGTACTTAATTGTGCAAAAACTTGTTATTCCCTATACAAACCTACATACGCTTTGCCGATACCTTAAAATCATCCAATGACTTCTCCTGCCCGGGTGAGGCAAGAGGGAGTGTTAGACTAACTGACTAAAAACCACTCCGTTCCTACTCCTGCACTTCGAGCCGGAGCCCCGGTAGCCCGTTAAGTCTTCCGCGGCTCCGTATCGGCATCAGCCCTGTTGGGCCCCATCTGTGGTGGTTTGATGGCTCCATCAGGCGCGCGTGGAACACGACGCTCCGTACGCTCGGGTCTGGTTCTGATCGGGCGGCGAGTCACCCGTCACTCGTCTACCGCTGCACTTTTCTCTTTGACTTGCAAAAATGCTTTATTAATTAAATTATTGACCTTTAATTACAGAGTTATACAATGCAGAACGACATACCACTTCAATGCCAAGTTCTAAACTTATTGAACCAGCTACTAACATTAAGAGTGAACTACTGCATGCTGGACAGCGATCAGATCTTCATAGGATTCCTTATGAAGCAACTAGACCTGGTTGAACAGCATGAAATACCGTAAGTATTTATTTAAAACATTCCCGGGTCTATTTGGTATACTCATGTCCAGATCCATTTTGGGTCACCTGGGTTCGTTTTATACATATTCGGATCCACTCAGGACATACCTGGGTCCATTTCGGCAATATCCAGGTCCATTTTTGACATATTCCGGTACATTCTTGAAAACCCGTGCTTGTTTTGGATATATCCGGATTCGTGTAGGACATAATGAAGTTCTTTTATTTTATAACATACTTGGGTTCACTTAAGACATATTATGTAGGTCAATTTAAGTTATACCAGGGTTCAACAGGCCCACTACAAAGTAGAAAACAGTGTGGGTAGCATTTAATAAGGATGAAATATCTTTGCTTGTATTGTGTATCATAGGTACTTTATAAATATTGATTAACACGTTAAACGCCACGGTGACCGGCGTTAGCGGAGGATTTACCTTCAACAGTTTTTTATTGGCAGTCAAAGTCGTAAGTCAAAGAAGTAAGAAAGAAAGAAAACCTTTATTTCACACTAAAAAACAAGTGCCATGTACAGATGTGTGTCTATTTGTAGGTACTTATGAATACTTGTTCATCATAAGACTTATTGTAAAGAAAATATGACAATTGCACAGACCATGTCTAATTGTCATATTTTCTTTACAGAGTCCGTCAAGAATTAAATATTTAACTTTGAGAAAATAATCTCTATTACGTATCTAGTAACTTTTTTTATGGAATAGGCTGGCAAACGAGCATACGGATTACCTGATGGTAGGCAATCCGCGCCGCCCCCATGATCACTTGTGACACCAGAGTTTGGGGTATAGAGATGTGAGGATTGGGGATTTGAGGAACAATTAATTAATTATTCGCTTTGTTCCAGTGATTGCTGTGATTTGGTGAACAGTATACTTATGTTCTTGGTGCAACTTTCATCGTCCAAACATCATACCAAACAAATTATAGAAATACCAAAGGTAATTACAACGCTGTCCCAATTTTGATAAATAAAAATAAGCCCTATAGGTTTCGTTAGAAAGTTTATATTTGTTCATGCATTCTAATAATAACCGATTTTTTGTTGTTCTAAAATATGTCTGCTGTTTGAAACGAAAGTTAACTTAACAGTCTTTGCAATAAAGTTTATTAGAGTATTAAAGCTTAAACTTTGATTAGCAAAATTCAATCTTATTGCGGGCAAGATAAAAATGTTTTCACATTACAGCTAATACAACTTTGTGACGGATTGATGGCTTCTGGCGCTCATTTAGAATGTATCGCCGGATTGGAACCTGTGGCTGTTAAAGTCTTCAGTAATATGGGAGGTAAGGATTTAAAAATAAACTTTATTTTCTAGAGAATAAGGTTAAACATGTATTTTGTTGTTTGTAAATTTCGTATTCCTATTTCAACGTAATAATTTAAAGGATTAACCTGTTGAAATGTACTTTAAATTTGTTCTAAATACAAAAGTAGTCACTAAAAATCAGGCATAGGGTCTATATTGGAGTTACTGGAAAGCGGTCGCCGGTGACCGCTTGGGAATTGAGCAGTTAATAGTTCTGTCACTACAGATTCTTTGCAAAATGACAGAGATAGCACTATTTGTAATGAAGTTGTAAAATTGAGTAAAATATCAGTATTCGAGCGTAAGCAAACGTCATGATTAATGCTCAAACCTTCTTCGTGTGAGAAGAGGCCTTTGCCTAGCAGTGGTCACTTATAGGCTGATGGTGATATTGTATTGATATAATATTTAATTTGCAGGTACCAGTGTGCTAGGCAGAGCTCAACAACAAGAAGCTCAAGCCACTAGAGAGGTTTTGTTTTACATGCTGCAGAAAACTATGCATCAACATAAGGTAAGCCTGATTCAAAAGCAATGCATCCTGACATTCCTAACCAAGTATTTATAGCCCGTCACTGCCTTAGTGGCAGATTTTCACTACCAATTTCCTCTCAGTCGTTAATTAGTAAAATCCTTCAGAGAGTTGTATTATGAAGGATTATGAACGTTAGCTGCGGCGCATATGGTGGGTTGTGCAATGGCAACCGGTCAAACCTGGGCGTTTACTTTTGAAACCAGTCTTCATGTCAACCATTCTCAAGGCGGGTTCGCGATTGCAAAATTATGATTAGAAACATACATAACTTCACCGTTTGTCAGTCGTGTCTAGATAATCTTGGAAAGTACATATAGCTCGGAGAAATTCACATTGGTACTTGCCTCATGCATGAGAAGCGGACTAAAATCTACCACCACGACCATACGTAATTGTAATAAAGTCCAATAAAATCAATCCGAGTCGTAATCATTAAAATTTATTTTTTTTTTCATTTTCTCAAGAATTTCAATATCTGTCTAACATTCAGGCAGTCTCCGTAAGTTCTTATAAAATACTTGTGTTGAGTCAATCATTAATCCACCGATATAACAGTTTGAATCTATACTCGGAATTTTAATTCGATTCCAGATTTGACAATTTCAGTGTTGCAACGTTATGACAAGTACTAAATAGTGACGTTGCGAAATTATTCGATATGGAAATGCAATATTTCTGGATCGATTCTTCCTTGTTTATAATTTTACTCTTGTAAACTAAGTATATCAGGAAATTAAATATTTCTGAACCGATAATTTAGTTTTGACGATAAATTAACGATCTGAGACTTTTCTTTCATAATTGTGTGTGAAATAAATAAAAAAATGTAATCATGAAGGAACATGACAAATAAAACAGATAGATGTATCATGGTAATAAGTTATTTTATAAATTGTCGCCGTCATCGCTATCGCTATCCTGTCACTTTCTGTAACATTTATTATAAAACACACACACCGATTGTTTATCGATTTTTGTGTGCATCACTACACTATTATATGTGGTATCATTATTTCACAAAATGACAGTAGCTATTGTCAAATCTGGAATCTAATTAAAATTCTGACTATATATACCTAATTTATCATTCCAGGTATTAGAACTAGTATCCTGCGTCCTATCTCTGTCCCAAGAACACCCAGAGAGCTATTATCGCTGGTCAGAGCTAGCCAGCGACACATTACTGAACCTATTGACCCAGAGGTCTATAGAGTTGGACTGTCAGAGGGCTATCGGGTCTCTAGAGAGGCTACTAGACACGGTGTACAAAGATGTGCTGTTGGAACAGAGTCGAGTGGAGATTTTATTGAAGATTTTGTTCAAAGCTCCGCCTGATCAGGTAACTGTCTTCTATTTTTGTCTGAGTTTCAATTCATGGGTCGAATAAAGTGCTTGGGTCATTTAAACTGACAAACACCGCGAGGACACCGGTGACCGCAACCTATTGTTCTTTAATTGTGTCTATAATGACGGTACTCAAAGAGTTAAATTATGATTTAATGTGATACAATTTTTATGAATTTTTAATAACATTTTATTTTTAAAAATATGTAAGGCACGATATTTAATTGTATTATAAATGTCGTGAGACATACTAAATTAACATCACGCCTTTTTCCCCGACGGGATAAACAGAGGTGCACATTATGGCACTTAATGCCAATAGTCAATGGAACCCCCACTTTTCACTATAAGTCCCATGTAATAGGGTGTGAGTCTATTGCCATATACCAGGCGCATTTCCAGACTGTGCTACCACTAAGACTTCTTTTAAAAACCCAGTTGTACTTTGCCCGACCCGGTTGCGGAAGACATTGTAATAATAAAAAATGAACCTCTAAAATAGCTCGAAACTAGTCGAGTTCCTCGTCAAACAGTTATATGAGTAAACCGAAAAAACATAATAATTACTTTTTTTTGGCATAAGCCGGTAATCGAGCAGACGGATCATCTGATAAGCAATCGGCGTCGCCCATGGACACCTGGAACACCAGAGGCGTTACAAGTGCGTTACCGGCCTTTAGGGGATTAGGAGTTTGAGGATCGTTGGGGATTCAGGAATTGGGGAGATTGGGGAAGGGGAGGGTAATTGGGCCTCCGGTAATCTCACTCATACGACGAAACACAACGCAAGCGTTGCTTCACGTCGGTTTCCTGTGAGGCCGTGGTATCACTCCTGTCGAGCCGGCCCATTCGTGCCGTGCATTCTGCCACACTTAAATCGACTCCACTCCCACAATGACTGATATTTATTTAATCTTATTTCCTTTGTTACAGGCAACAACACCTCTAAAACTAAAAATCCGTTATCTCTCAATAATAATGGTACTGTTACGCAAAATACTGGTTTTAATACCAGAGAGCGAGATACTTTTAACAATAAACTATTTGAAATCAACCTGTATATCTCCATTGTCGATATTTTTTAACGTCAAAACTGACGTGGACCCTTTGAACGTGCAGAATGTTAATGAAAATTGCGCCAATCTGTCACCTGACGTCATTTTAGTGCGGTTCTTGTTTAAAACCGTGACGTATGCGATAATGGAAATGGATAATGTGTACGAGTGTTTGCAGAGCGAACAGAACAGTTTGTTATATGCTGTCTGTGTCAATATTATTGTACAAGTCAAGCATATGCTGCATTTAACGGGTGAGTTTTCTTGTAGATAATTTTTGTGTGACACTGTGAGTCTCAGAGTTTTGGGTTCAATTTCTAAGTAGATTCGACTGCCTCCTTGATCTAGTGGTCGCAAGTGCGATTGCAAGGCAAGGGGTCTCGGGTTCGATTCCCGGGTCGGTCAAAGTATTATTGGGGTTTGAAAAATACTCAGTAGTAGCACGGAGTCTGCAAATGTAAATTTTTGGCAATAGGCCCACCCTACATGGGGCTCATAACATAAATAGTGAAAAGTGGGTGTTACATTGTACAGTGGCATTAAGTGCCGTAACGTGGACCTCTGCCTACGGGGTACTTTATCTCTTCGGGGATAAAAGACGTGATGTTATGTTATATTATGTAAATTCAAAAGCTATATAATATACACAGTGCTTTGCGTCGTTTGCCATATATATATACGCTTACTTGCGCGTACGCACAATGAGGTATATTTGGGTTGTCGGTACTGTAATTGCTTTCTTTCATGAGACTTAAAAATGTTTTATTAATCATCTTGGAATTTTATTTTGTTTTGTATTTGATGGGCCGTCGTTTAACCACTATCTCGCCTGGTGGTAAGTGATGATGCGGTCTACGATGCAGCACGTCATCCCATAAGCAAAAGCAATAAGCTTTGGAGTATAACCTGTTATACTCCAAAGGAAACACAGATTCTGGCAAAGAATTCCACTCCTTAGCAGTAGGAACGCATAAGGAAGTGGGATAGTAAAACTCCCCGCTTTTTCCAGACGGCTGCCTCTTCCCCCTCTCAGCTAAGACAGCACAAAGCTTACTACACAACGAACAAAGTGGCCTAAACACTGGTCTATACAGTCCCGAAGAAAACATCCCCCTAGATCTACTCAACTTGATATGCTTGAAGTCTGCGCATCGAATACCCTTGTTAACTGTACATTGGTCGCATTTGCTTATCAGGTATGTTGTGCTTTTTATTACCTTTTGCTCGCGACTGTTATAATGGTGGATTACCAAATTATAGTCGGATTTATTTGACTTGGATTTATTATAATAATGTGCAGAGCGTACGACGTTTACACACACCAGAGTATGATAGATAGACAGCGACATTATTGACGAGTGTCCTACCTTTTATAACCCATTATAGTGAGGGGACACTACTTACTAAATAGTTGTTAACACAGATTAATAAATACATGTAACAGCGACTTCGTACTCGCAATCCCGTTTTTCCCGTTCCCGTAGGATTTACGGAAATTGCGTGGATAAAAAGTATCCTATGTCCGTCTTCTGGTTATAAGCTTCTAAGCTAAGTTAACTATGGAATAATAACTGAGAATCTGAATTGGGTACTTGTCAACTAAAATAGTCAAATTCAATACTTTGTAAAAACGACAGTTTTCTATGAATTTTGACGAGATTGTGTATTGTGACGTCATGTTTCAAACAGTAAATTTAATTCTTTAAAAATTGCTGGTAATATATTAAAATTAAGTTAGTAATAAAATCAATTAATGAAAGTGTGAATATTTTTACTAATTATGCACATTTCTATTTGATGATATATCATCACACTTTGCAATTATATGTAGATTAGATGACCATACAATATTATAGTACCGTCGAGCTGATTTGATGATGAAATTGGGAGGTGGCTGATGGAACCTTGCGTCACCTACTTGTATTTGGACTCATTAAATATTTCAATTTCTTATTATGATTTTCGACTTACTGGCGTAATTATTTGACGAGCAACTCAACTAGCTTCTATATAGCTCATGAATATGACCCTCTAGCATAGCTTGAAACTAGTCGAGTTCCTTTAGTATGTCTCATTGAAGCTATAACATAAATGTCAATTTATCTTGGTGAGGAACACATAAATAGAGATTTTTTTTTTATATTTGATGGCGCGGCGTTTGACCACTATCTCGCCTGGTGGTAAGCAATGATGCGGTCTACGATGGAGCACGTCGTCCCATAAGCAACCTATTCACTCGGGCCTTGAAGACTGCCAGGTTATAGATACCCTTCAGGAAATACAGACTCTGGTAAAGAATTCCACTCTTTAGCAGAGTACCAAGCACGAATGACTATCGCAATCATAACGTAATAGTATCGAGTGCGTTCGGCGCTCTGATTGGCCGGCTCAAGTGAACCAACCAATCAGAACGCTTAACTCGCTCGATACTGTTACGATACGAATGCGATAGTTAATCGTGCTTGGCCCTCAGTACGCACAAGGAAGTTTGAAGCGAAGCGCTTCGTGCGTGTGGGCGGAACATCTACCATGAATCGGTGACGCTTCGCCGATTGTCTTGTGATTGATTAAAGTATGTTTTTTTACAAAGATTTTATTTCCATTTCAGATTAAACTTCCTATCGCACAAGTACTGGCAGAAGCTAATAGGTTTCGCTCGCAACCTCCCACTGAGCGCTGACTGCGGCGACACGCAACTGTTGAGAGTTGATACGCTGCAAATAGCTTGTGTTATGGCTTACTGCGAGTATTTTGTAAGTATATATTATTATTATTATATTGCTAGCTACTTTATTATAGGGTTTTTTTAATCATCGAATGACTACTCCCGCCTGGATGAGGCGGGAGGGAGTGTCAGACTCTTACTGACTAAAAACCACCCCGTTCCTTGTCCTGCACGTCGAGCCGGAGCTCCGGTAACCCGTTAGGTTCTCCGCGACACTTTATTATAGGATAGGCTGGTAAACGAGCAGACGAATCACCTGATGGTAAGCCGTCCATGGACAAACGCAACACCAGCCTTTCAGGGATTAGGGGATTGCGGGGGATAGGAGGATTGGGCCTCTGGTAACATAAATCACAAGCGGAATGCAACGCCAGTATTGTTTCACTCCGGTTTGCTGTGTAACCAGTCGTAATAGATCGTAGTTTTTTCTTCTTCTCCTCTTATAATATCTTCTGATTCACTTCGTTGCGGGAACCAAGACTGTTGCTCATGTCCCTGGGACGCGCCGGACTTCAGTGTTCCGGTGTTTTCATAGTTATATCTACTGTAGATCCTGGCTTACAGGAGTTGCAGCGGTTTTGGGAGGTTGTGGCGGGCTTGTCGCAAAAAATAGTCGTAATAGTTCATTCTTTGACTAATTTGAAAATGATACCATGCCTATAAACACTGAAACCACCATCCCCCTTCAAATAATCCTAACTATCTCGGAACTGTACAACGTAACGGGTTACTGGGGCTCAGACTCGAAGTAGGAGTAGGAACGACATGATAATTTTCATAACATAATATAACATCACGCCTTTTATCCCCGAAGGGGTAGGCAGAGGTGCACATTATGCCACTGTACAATGTAACACCCACTTTTCACTATTTATGTTGAGTCCCATGTAATAGGGGGTGAGCCGTGCTACTAATGAGATTTTTTTTAAAACCCAGTAATGCTTTGCCCGACCCGGGAATCGAACCCGAGACCCCTTGCCCTGCAGTTCCCCCCCCCCCCTCAAATAATCCTAACTATAAAACTTATTGTTTCAGGTAGAAAACGGCCTAACAGAAGCAGTCCATCTAACCTGGTTATTAGTTAACCGAGTACACATACTAGTGAGTCAGTACAGAGAGGAGATTGTACAAACGTTGATAGCTAAGGTCCAACAGATGGCGGGCGCGTCGGGGCTACTGTTGCAAGCTGTCGCCGCTAGATGTCAGGGGTGTTTAAAGGTACGTAAAGGACTTGTGGTCGATTTATTTGTTTGATAATGGAGAGTGTTGGTAGAAGAAGTTGTAAGTGGAACTTTTTTATGGAATGAGTAGGCGGATCACCTGATGGTAAGCCATCAGCGCCGCCCATGGATACTCGCACCACCAGAGAAGTCAGAAGTACGTTGTCGACCCTTTAAGAAGGAATATGCAATTTTCTTGAAGGTTTGGCGGTCGTATCGGTTTAATGTTTTTTTTTCTTATTCTTATATCTTTGGGAATATATTCTAATACAGTGATATAATTATGTATTATGTTTAGTCATAATACAAACGAACCATATCCTTATGGTATACTTTTAAAACATAAGCCTACCCTCTTTTAAAATAAAAATCATGTCATTAATTACAGGACGAATTCGCTCTGAATACGTACAAGATCTTGTCATTATGCCACGAAAGTCAGTCGGGAGCGCTCGTCTTCCTCATATGTCGGATCATCGGGAAACTGGAGCCCGCTATAGCTGGCAGGTTTGTTTTTTCATTTTAATTACAATTATTTACGAACATTTAGGATTGTGCTGCGGCATGCCTTATTTCAATTAGCTTAGCAATCAATTTTCCTTGACACAAAGTGACCCAAACGCCTCACGACGTTGCCGTGTCATGCCGGGGTATCGTGGAATCGAAAACATCGTGAAGAAACCAGAACTTATAATTTGTAATTATGACTTATAATTTCTAATTATAAGTTTGAAACCACTAACCCGGATTGAGCAAGCGTGGTGATTAATGTTCAAACCTTCTTCGTGTGAGAAGAGGTGTTTGGTCAGCAGTGGGCATCATAGGCTGTTGATATGTGATGTGACACAAAGTGACCCAAACGTCTCACGACGTTGCCGCGGCATGCCAGGGCATTGTGGAATCGAAACACAGTAACATGAACTCTTGACTCATAGAAATACGATTCAAAATAATTTGATAAGTCATAAAGTCCTTAGCGCTAGCCCTTTTAAGTATGTCGCGGAGAACCTAACGGGCAACTGGCGCTCCGGCTCGACGTGCAGGAGAAGGAACGGGGTGGTTTTTAGTCAGTAAGAGTCTGACACTCCCTTCCTCCTCACCCAGACGGGAGCAGTCATTCGATGATTGTATTTGAAAGTAATATTTTATTAATTTATTCACAGATTCGCAAAACTCGCAATAGACAGATGCCGAGTATTAAAAGACATGCCAGTTGATAAGATCAACGAACAACTCTCCAAGGAAGATGTACAAGTCGCTTTAGAGTTACTGCAGAGGGATAAAGTTCATACACGGTATGTTTTTGTATAATACCTATTATGACACATATTATTATTTTAAACAAGACAAGAGGGCAAGTTAATGAAATGGTAATTTCGTAATTAAGAGCCCCACTCGGACTCAAAAGTAGACGGGTATCCATCAAATTTCAAGTTTTAAAGAACGGGGAATGGGAATAGTTTACAATATAAATATATATACAAAATCACGCCTTTTGTCCCCGAAGGGGTAGGCAGAGGTGCACATTACGGCACTTAATGCCACTGTATAATGTAACACCCACTTTTCACTATTTATGTTATGAATAGGGGGTGAACCTATTGCCATATACCGGGCACAATTCCAGACTCCGTGCTACTACTGAGAATTTAAAAACAAATCGAGTAGTAGTTAGAAATTATATATTAGTATGTAAGTGTGACGATATCCAGAGGTTTGATTACTGACTCTAGAAATGTAATATTAGGCTTTTTGATATTTTTTAATGTATGTATAAGACCCCGAATTTGGAATACGTCGATTTACGTACGATTTTCGATTTCGATACGATTTCTCTCTCTCTCTCTCTCTTTGCTGTTAGTTTATTCTCCGTACCTTATTTTTCGCAGATTTTCTACTTATACCCTAAGGTTGACTGGTAGAGAATGCCATATGGCATTAAGTTCGCCCTATGTGCTATATTAAAATTGTGTACATAAAATAATAAATAAAAAAAATGTACAATTTACTTGCGTCTCTAAAATTACGTGTGGTAATAATTTTGTATATGTTTTAAAAATATATATGATTTTTATATTTCAACAGGTACTCAGCATTAGTAGTGGAATTAAATTCGTTGGCGTCCAGTGTGTTTGACTTATCACCGCTAGATCTGTCGCAGGACAGAGCGATCAATCCACAGTACATTGTAACTACCAATATCGATAGTCAATGGTTGCTGAACCAGGTGAAGAGCAGGTAATTCATTAAAATTATTAATTTTAGTTAAGTTCGTTTTTTTATGGTATAACCCGGTAAACTACGGATCACCTGGTGGTAAGCAATCGGCGTCGCCCATGGGCACCTGACACACCAGAGGAGTTACAAGTGCGTTACCGTCCTTTTGGGGATTAGGAATTTGATGATCGTTGGGAATTCAGGGATTGGGGAAGGGGAGGGGGGTAATTGGGCCTCCGGTAACCTCATTCACACGACGAAACACAACGCAAGCGTTGTTTCATGTCGGTTTTCTATGAGGCCGTGGTATCACTCCAGTCAAGCTGGTCCATTCGTGCGGTAGCATGGCTCTCCCACAATTTAAGTTTGTATTTAGATATTTGCAATATTGTGAGCCACCTTTATAGTAGAAGGATAGGGAATAGGATTAAGCCTAATGCTATTTGGATTTTTCCCATATTAGCGGAAAGCAGCAAGCAAAATTTTGGTTTGTAACCTGTCGCTATTCCATCTTTGTTATTTGAAAGAAAATACTGATATCTTAACTTTAAAAAATCTATGGTCCATGGGCGGCGCTGATCGCTTACCATCAGGTCATCCGTCTGCTCGGTTACCTCCTATTCCATAAACCTAATGGACATAACTACTATTACTACTTACAGATGCTGCCAAAGTGATTGCAAAACACCAAAAGCATTGAAACAAAATGATCTCGCACATTTGCTTTCAAACCTTCCCAGAGAAGACCTCGCTACAATCATGGCCTGTCCAGAATTCGACAGGAAAATATTAAACCCAGCTTTCAGAATAACCTGTGATACTTATCTAAGAGAATTCTTAAACATTCTCTCTGTACATGAAACGAAAGAGTATGAGAAAGAGTGCGCAAGGGAACAGAGAATGATGAGAGTTCGAGAGGAGATGACGTCATCGATCGATAGCAACAAACTCAATGTTGTAAACACATTACATGTTTTCAAAAAAAGTGACAATAAAGAATCGAAATCTCAGTTCTTCATACCGATCACAGATAATGAGAATTTGAAAGAGAACTTCGGCAATTTACAAATTTCCGACGAAGATCTAGAGATTGAACCGCCGGAGTTGCCAGCTTTGTATACTATCGGTGTTGCTACACTAGAAAATTCTTTAGCTGACATTATAAGACTCTTTCCGAAGCAGATTAGGCCTTTGAGTCAATCTGAAAATTTCAGTCTAAATGTTGAACAGACTTTAGATAGATACACGAGGAGATGTCACCAAGTCTTCCAAGATAAAGTATTTTACCAAGAATTTTATATACTACAAACTATTTTAACGGGATTTTTGTCATCGCTTGATAGAATTATATCGTTTATAGACGAAGCTGACTGCGATTTACTAGACAAGTGCATAGAGAATATACTACCTCCAACTTTGGCAAAGAACATGGCGATTTTTGCTGTAATTTCTTTACAATATTTGTCGTTTTTGATTAAGAATAAGAAAATAGTCGAGACGCCTGTCCATACGGATGTGTCATTTAGGGTGACAACGTCAGTGTCAGATAACGTCGTAGTTGACAATGTCATTAGTGTCGCAATTGATAATGTCTCAAAAGCGTTAAGTTTCAAGGAAATTTGGAACGAATTGAATACTGATGCCAATGTCAATAGAACTCAAAGTGCTGTGAGCTGCTTGTATGCCGTGGTGAAGTATCTGGTTAAGGTATGTTTTATATAATTGTGGTCGTTATTTATTGAGTGGTTAGGGCTAATATTGCTTACCATTTTTATTAGGTTATGTCTATCGTACTTTGTCATATTAATATCAATTAAAAGTAGAATTTAGATTTGGTTAATGTAGTTAGTAAATAGCTTTAATTATAATCTGTGGGGAACAACATTTCGGTTTCGACTATCGGATCAGACAAAGAAAAAGATAAAATTTCAGTCCTTAGTAGCACAAAATGTAGAAGTATTTACAATGAAAATATGTTACCATTTAATTTTAAACCTTATCTTTCAGAACACAAGACCGTTAACACCTAAAAACTATATGCAGTCTCAAGATTCAGGTCCTAAACCGGACATGGTAATCACCGGTGATAAATTAATCACTCTTCTAGAATATTGGGAGAACAACTTCTATGCGAAGCATTCTGGTGATTTCTTAGAGAAGTGTTATAGGGAACCAATTGAGAGCTTGCTTATTTCTTTGGCTAGGTAAGCGTTGTATTTTTTTGGTTTGTATGAATAAGGGTCAGCGGACGTCGAACAAGGGTAGTTCGCCGCCCGACCAGAACCAAACTCTGGCGTACGGTGCGTCGCGATCCGGGCATGCCTCGAAGAGCCATCAGATCACCACGGATGGGGCCCAATAGGGCTGATGCCGATACAGAGCTGCGGAGGGCTTAAGGGGTTGCGGAGGCTCCAGCTCGAAGTGCAGGAGTAGGAACTGGGTGGTTTTTCATAATTAAGAGTCTGATACTCCCTCTCGCTTAACCCAAGCTTGGAGAAGTAATTAGATAATTCCCCGAAAAAAAAACATGTATTTTTATGTAGTTTATTTTACGTTAAAATTTTTCTTTCAGATTGGATATTATGAGCAACATATCCCTGATACCTCCTATAGCGTGGTCCTCAGTGGACGTGGTCTCCAAGAAGGATCATCTCCAGAAGATAGACTTGCCTCTCCAAGCTTTGCAGGATATGGACGTTTTAGAGGCTTTTTTGTTTAGGTAAGAATAGATACTATACGAAATACTTTATTATACACTAATTATTCCATATATTCTAGACTGCCTCGTTGGCCGAGTGGTCGCAAGTGCGACTACCGGGCAAGGGGTGTCGGGTTCGGTTCCCGGATCGGGCAAGGTATTACTAGGTTTAAAAAAAATATCTCAGTAGTAACACGGAGTCTGGAATTGTGCCCGGTATACGGCAATAAGCTCACCCCCTATTACATGGGACTCATAAATAGTGAAAAGTGGGTGTTACTTCTGTGTGCACCTCTGCCTACCCCTTCGGGGATAAAAGGCGTGATGTTATGTTATGTTATTCCAGACAAAGTCAAAGTCAATCAATGAGACCAGGAAGGCACTTTTGAACGTCAACAAAAAACTTAAAAGTACACCTATTTGCTCATTCCAAGGTGTAGATTCTTATGGAGAAAAACGAGCAAGAAACTCCATAGGTTACTCTTTTTCAATCAGGTTCACATTACTATTCTTTAGTTACATAGTTTTATCGGTTCAATTGTATGAGAATAATGTAACACCAAAATCCAGTCAAAGAGATCGAAACAGAAAATAACCCTAAGGACAATAAAATCATACAGTCTGGAGCTAACCAGTCCCAGCAACCTTAGCATGAATAGTGGATTATGAAATTCTATTAAGGGTAGACAGTTGCTGGTGGACCGCACTTACTGAAATATTAATGCCGGAATACTGAAACGTTACTCAATTTTAAGTTGTGCTTAAATATCGTGCCATCTCTGTCATTGCACAAAGAATTTGTGGAGTCAGAACTATACTTAAGCGCGACTTAAAATTGAGTAGCGTTTGAGTATTCCTACAAAACTGTTCTCTATTCATAATCGCTTATTTAGTTTTCTACAACTAAAAACTATTTTTTTAAGTCGTTCTCCACACTAGGGTTTTTCCTGTGTCATGGGTGCGTTTACAAACATACAAGACACATATACATGACACCTAGACCCGAAACAACAATTTGTGGTTTACATAAAGAGGTTGTTCCTTGCGGGAATCAAATCCGCGACACGGCGCGCCAGCCGGTTGCCCAGCCAACGTGCCGAACTTGCTTTTTTAATTTTTTATCTTTGGTACAAAGTTTTCATGACTATTATGTTTAGTTTTAGGAGAAATTAGTATTAGGCTCTGTTTATGGCATCCATGATAAGGCTTACGTCGTGGTGGCCGGAGGTTTATGACGCACTTCTTATACATGAGTGTGCTGGTTCGAAACCTACCAACGGCAAGTACCAATGTGACATTTTCCGAGTCATATGTACTTTCTAAGATTATTTAGACACCACTGACAAACGATGAAGGAAAACATCGTAAGGAAACCTGTACTTATAATTTCTAATTATAAGTTTGAAATCACCAACACGCATTGAGCAAGCGTGGTGATTAATGCTCAAACCTTCTCCGTGTGAGAAGAGGCTTTGCTCAGCAGTGGGCATTCATTGGCTGTTGATGATGATAAGGCTCAGGGTGTTGACAAATTATTCTACTTTACTTTTACCACACAGCAATGATTCTGATTCTATTTTTTCTCGTTTCCAGAGTAAACCTAATAGGTTGGTCCTCAAAGAAGCAGTTCGAGGAGATGTGGGTCGGTTTGCTAGGAGCTTTACAAGGGAACGGCACTCACTGGGCGGTGCGCGGTATCACGCAGTTGTTACTGAGCGCCGCGCCCACTAGACGACGGATGCCGGCCGCACTTGTACATGTCGCCAGGCAGAAATTTGGATGTAATGAGGGGTGAGTGCAATTTTTATGGCGTACTAGCTATGCCCACGACTAGTTTTGCGTTGAAAACTGACTTTGGATAGTTCTTTACAGTTCCTCCCTTGTAGGTGATAACGTGATAATATGTAGCCTATATGGAGACTCGACGTTATAGTATTATTCATGCAAAACTTGAAGTAAAGTGCAGTACTATTAAAATTTAGCCCGGACATGCATACAGACAAACAGACAATAATTCAAGAAACTATATTTTTGGCTTCGATATCGACTGTACAAGTTGCAAGTACTTGTTTAAAAAATATTCAATGTACGATTTTATGATATGTATAGATTTTGTATAGCTCTCCTGTATGTATACGTCGTGTGTGCACATTAAGTTATACAAAACCAGTTCAACCAGGTCTAGCTTTGTATGAGTTTTCTCCCCTTGTCCGGTAGTCGCACTGTCGACCACTAGGCCAGCGAGGTAGTCCATTTTTACTTTTATGTGGAATATTAATCGCTGGAAACTGTTTCTCAAAAGATTTTTGTTTTTATATTATTATTATTATTTTGTCTATTAACTGATACATAAATTCTTGATTTGTTTTAGTATGCAACGTCTCCGCAACATCCTCGTCGGTACATCGTCATACAATCTATTCGATTGCGTCAACCTGGAACGGATACCGCTAATGAATGACGGATTCGACGGATATCATTACGCGCAGTTCAATACTGAGTACTTGAAACTAGCGTCAGGTGAGTTTTGACCATTTAGTTTCAACTAGCTTTTACCCGCGGCTTCGCTCGCGTCACAAAAGGATAAAAAGTAGCCTATGTGACATATACCAATACACACAGCGCCATCTATACCAATACTTTTGTTTTCCCTCGGGAATATCAAATTTTTCCGGGATAAACGTACCCTATTATTTAATCCAGACTTCTAACTTCACCTCTGCAAAATTTCAAAGCAATCGGTTCATTAGTTACGTCGTGAAAGCGGAACAAACAAACAAACAAACAAACTCATTTTCTGATTTATAATATAAGTAAGGATTGTGTAGCAGTATATTTTAAGGCTTAATGCTAGCATGTTAGGTATAAATTACAGTGGTTCATGTAGGCACCTTTTCACAAATCGTTGGACGATAAAAAAATAATTATTGTTAGATATACTACCTTTTACCTTTATATTAAAATAATAATTATTATTATTTACTTAATGTACTATAAGTTCGTGTGCGCTTTCGAAGTTTGCTTATTGCAATGGTTGACCAGTTAATTTTTGTTTTAAACATTTTATTTCTTTGTAAAACTGCCTCGTTGGCCAAGTGGTCGCAATTGCGACTGCCGACATTGCTCGGCAGTCGCGGCCTCGGGTTCGATTCCCGGGTCGGGTAAAGTATTACTGAGTTTAAAAAAAATCTAAGTAGTATCACGGAGTCAGGAATCGTGCCCGGTATATGACATTACATGGGATTCATAACATGAATAGTGAAAAGTGGATGTTACATTGTACAGTGGCATAAGTGCCGTAATGTGCACCTCTGCCTACCCCTTCAGGTATAAAAAGCGTAATGTTATATAAGATATCTTTATACATACATATATTAAAATTCTTATATCCTTACCACAGATATAACAGACGACGCGAGCTACAAAGTAAAGAGAGAGGTGAAACGAGTGAGAAAGAACAAAGAGATTGACATCAACAGCTGTCTACAGATACTTATGGATGTCACCTCGCAGATGTTGGAGCCTAAGGTAAGATGCGAAGTAATTAATTATTATTTAAGAATAAATCACTTCGTAATAATAAAACAGGTGAAATTCAGAGTTTTATACTTTCAAAATGCGTTAAGTTTGTTACTTGATTTTGATTGAATGCCAAAAATAATGTATAATTTATCGTGAAGCGTATTAAAAACTAGCTACTTTCGCGCGGTTACACCCGCTCTGCTCGGCTCCTATTGATCGTAGCGTTATGTTTTGTAGCTTATAACCTTCCTCGGTAAATGGACTATCTAACACAAAAAGAATTATTGAAATCGGACTGGTAGTTCCGGAGATTAGCGCGTTCAAACAAACAAACAAATTCACTTTCCGATTTACAATATTAGTAAGGATAATATTACGTTGTTCTCCAGGCGCCAACAGGTGTAGCCGCCCGCGTGGCCCTGGTGTCGTGCATGAGCCACAGCGGCGCGGTGTTCTCTCAGCCGGCGCACTGGTGCTGGGCGGCCGGCCAGCTCATCGCGCTCACGGCCGCCGCGCACGCGCCGCTCACGCAGTACAGCGCGGCCGGCCGGGCGCTGCTGCGCGCGCTGTCCGACTGTATGTGTGTGCTCGACGGATTTGAGGGGCTGCAGGTATGTATCGCACTCGATTAATCTAAAAAATCTATAAAAAAGGACAAGTAACTGCGGCGTAACAGTAAGAGTCTGACACTCCCTTTCGCCTCACCCAGGCGAGAGCAGTCATTCGATGATTTTCCCCCCTTAAAAAAAAAAAACTGCGGCGTGACCATGCTTGATCCTTTAAATAATCCTTAGTAAGCACTAAGAAAGGATTTTTTGAAAATTCTGCTTCGAAGGGACTAAATAATATAACTCTTCCTTTACTGATGCTGAATAAAAGAGTTCCCATTTTTTTTTTCTTTCTTGTCGACCACTAGACAGGCAAAGATCGAGTCTAAAACAGACAATCACGAAGAGTTTCGAAAGTAAGCCTATGCTTACTTTAGTTTTGGAATTAACAATCGCAAATGTAATCTAGTACTTCTATGGACCTGATATTATATTCTATCTTTTTTATCAGGAACTATCAACAGTCCACCAGAAGCTTCTGAAATCCCTGTCATCCAGCTATGCTCCGTTACGGCAAGCAGCGCTACAGGGTTGTCTCCTACAACTCACGGGGAAGGCACATCACCTCGCCAACGTACATAGTGCACCGAATCCTTTCCACGAACTCGTGTCGCAGTTAAATGTAGCTGTGAAACAGTATCTAGCGCCTAATACTAAGTAAGTAGATTATATTCGTGGGTTTGTTGGTCTGTTAGTATATTTTTTTTGCATTAAAATAAAATCAAGTTAAATATTGCACAAATTTGTGCTTGTTTGCGCAAATGGGAGACTGATTGCGCAAAAGTGTAGTTGTTTGCGCAATTTTGCGCAATGTATTCAAACACATTAACTAAGTTGGTCAAGCTATAAATGTGACTTGTAACTGTTGAAAAGTGAATATTTCACGTTAATGTAAGTTTTGATCTTCAAATAGGAGTAAAAAACTTGATTTTGTTATTATTTATAAATAATCATTAGCAACAAGTTTTGTAAATTAATACGGTTGATAGAAGAACAATATTATTATTCTTCTTTTATTTTAAATTAAATTTAAATCTGTTTGCGCAACCCAGCGCAACGTTTTGCGCAACCCAGCGCAATGTATTGCGCAACCCTCCTCAATGTTTTGTGCATGTCAGTCTGAGAATATTTATTTAATAGACTTTATTTCTTAACAAATCCAATTTGTTAACATTGTATATTTTATTTTTGAACAATTTAAATTTTCTAACATCTCGCTTTCTGTTTTTAACTTTAACTTTAATATTGTAATTAAAGAAATCAAATTGTAAGTGGAGTATATACAAATAAATTATTCTTATTCTTAATATTGTTTGTTTCAGAATATCTCTATACGAACAGAGTCTATACTGGACAGTGTTATTCACATTGATAGAGCTTGGACATCCGGAACTGATCAATATGGCTGTCGACTTTGTACTCACAAACCCTAGACACTACTGCATTGATTTGGTTGTTAAGGTAATTTGGATTTTAACTTTGGAATTTGAAGGTTGTCTGGAAGAAATCACCATTGTGTGATAAGACCGCCCATTGTACGCATATTTTATAAAAATAAATAAATAAATAAATTAAGTAATGTATGTTTAATGTTTCAGGGTATCACAACGACTATCCGACAGCAGGTTCTGCCGAAGGACCTAAAGAACTCGATCATTGAAAGGCTTTTAGAAAACATGAAGGTTTATTCAGAGCACCACGCTGTGCAGATATTGATGGTGCATCTGTTTTCAGGTAAGGCTCTCGCATTTTTTTTATGGCATAAGCCGGTAAACGAGCAGACGGATCACTTGATGGTAAGCAATCGGCGTCGCCCATGGGCACCTGGAACACCAGAGGCGTTACAAGTGCGTTACCGGCCTTTTCGGGATTAGGAGTTTAAGGATCGTTGAGGAAGAAATACCTGTCTAATATTTTTTCATTATCTAATTGACGGACTAATTAATTTTTAATTTTCAAATCCTACCCTATTATGGTCATTTTTACCACTTAGCATGGGAGATCACATAAATTAACTAACCCCTTATCTTTTACTATTAGGTGTCACTTATCCCTGTATGTATAAGTGACTAGTGAGTGGTTTCCGCCACCCTTGGCGGAACCAAAATGTAATTAGGTCTTACTTATCTTAGCTTAGAGGCCCAATTACCCTCCCCTTCCTCAATCTCCCCAATCCCTGAATTCTCAACGATCCTCAAACTCCTGATCCCCAAAAGGCAGGTAACGCACTTGTAACGCCTCTGGTGGTCCAGGTGTCCATGGGCGACGCCGATTACTTACCATCAGGTGATCCGTCTGCTCGTTTACCGGCTTATACCATAAAAAAGGGATTCCTTAAAATTCGAGAGAGGTTTGTGAAAATTGGTATTAATGTATTATTAACTCTACATTTCTTCCACAGCTGACAACAAGCTCCTAAGTCCAAAATTAACATCCGACGTATCAAACATGGACCCCGACATTCTAATGAACTCTATGGAAAGAATTACTCTACTCTACAAAGTTCTACGCCAATCAAGAGAGAAAGAGAGCAAGAGAATAATAACGACTTCTCTTAAATACTTCTTAAGAGAGACTCTACCTCCGGCCGCGACTCTAAGTAGAGTCGTGATAGAGTTCTTAGAGTGTTGTAAGGAGAGTGAGAAGATTAAAATAGAGATTGCGTCGGATAGAGATCGGTGGATCGACTGCGCTGTTATGAATGCTGAGATCGTTTTTGAGGTAATTTACCTTTATTTGTTGTATCAATTTTGAAAATTTTACAGATGCCGAGAGTGACGAAATTTCAGAGATAAGAGCCCAATGTGATGTTTTAAGTTGATTCCTTGGTCGGGCTAAAGGATTCTTAGATTTTTATACTTTCTTAGTGATAATGATTCTAAAATCACGCCCAGTGTTGTAAAAAGGCGGCGCCGCCTTTTTTGTCGGCCGAGTGGTCGCAAGTGCTACTGCCGGGCAAGGGGTCTCGGTTTCGATTCCCAGGTCGAGCAGAATTTTACTGGGTTTTTTTTTAAATTCTCAATAGTAGCACGGAGTCTGGAAATGTGTCCGGTATAGGGCAATAGGCTCACCACCTCATACATGGGACTCATAACATAATAGTGAAAAGTGGGTGTTACATTGTACAGTGGCATTAAGTGCCGTAATGTGCACCTCTGCTTACCCCTTCGGGGATAGAAGGCGTGGTTTTATGTTATGTTGTGTTATGGATCAATCAAACAAATTACCTCTATTTCCTCTTAAGGTAACAGAGACAAATTATGTATTTTTTATAATTTTGGGTATTAAAATTTAATACCTTTCTTCCACAGGTATTTCAAACATCGATAACTCAAGACCAGCTCCCAGTCCTCTCCGGTTGGATATTCGAAGCCCTCTGCCATCTCCTAAATGGGAAAGTAACCCCCCATCTACTTCCATACTGTCTACAAACCCTTCTAGTTTCTGCCAGCTCCAACCAATTTATAAGACACATATCCCCACTATGCTACCATATATTAAGACTAGGATTCCTCAAAAGCGGAGAGGTCTCACAACACTGGTCAATCTTCAATGATTTCCTTAAAACAGATAGTGGCATGCAATTCTCGGATAAAAGATTACTATGTGTTGTGTCATTAAAGTCCAATTTCACGGGATCTCAATTAGAAAGGTTGAAGGAATTGTGTAATAGTAACGAGTGTTTGTCTGAACTAGCTTCTTGCTTGAATTTGTAATTTAGACTTTAAGTCGATTGGATAAGGTTTGTAATGGTGTCCTGATTTAGTAAACGTTTTCCCGGTTTGAAGTGTAGATCGCCTAAGCTGTAATAAAGGTTAATTAGGTTGTACGGCTCTCGTAACTGTTCAACGGGGTTACTCAATCATTTTCAAGCCACGACTGGGACCCATAGTTAGCAGAATGCGCGATGACGACCAGTTACGTGAATTAACCGTACAACTTATTAATTTAATATGTTTCATAATAGGTATAATACAAAATCTGTCTTTTAGATCCTTTAAAGGATTCAAAGACTTAAAATAAGTTCAGAATTTGAATGGAATTTGTAAAAGAACAGTAAGAAGGTTGTGTATAAATACATTTTGATTTGATTTTGAGTCTTAAGTTTTAAACCACAGAGTCGAGTTATAAATAGCGTGTATAAATATTAAGTATTGCTGTGAAAAAGTAAAAGATGTTCAACGAATTGAAACCCTCCTTTTAAGAATTTGGTTATAAACAAAAACAAATGTTATTAAACGGTTTTGAATTCTATCCTGTTGGTAATACGAAAGTATTTAGCGAAACATTGTACAGATTTCAAGGGTTTTATTTAATAAAGATGAAGTTATTCAGGATACCATAAAATTTCTAAACAAACCGAATGATCTTTGAGTATTTTTAGGCATTTCAAAACTTTCCTTCTAAAAAACCTTTCGATATTTTCATTCCAAATTTGTAGGTCTAGTATGTCTGAGAATTTTAAATCATTTTATGTAGTAATAATAGGAAATGTGAGGTTTGAATGTAGTTTAGAAGGGTAGTGAATGTAGAAGAAATTTTCCAACGATTGAAAGCTGATTCTTCCAATTGCAAGACGTTTTTTATTGAATTGAATTCTCCTTTTAAAGAAAAAATGAAAGTAAAAAACCTATCAACTATAATTAAGCAACAAAATGTTATTTTTGCACTTAAACGGTATTGTCGAGCAAAATCTATTTTTGATTAGACAACATCCAAGAATGTAAAAATTCATAACAATCGAATTATTTTCATTACAATGCATCGTTACAACAAATTCGTTAATCGGGATCCAACCAACCGATTTGTCGTAAGACCTCCAATCGATTTTGATTCAATTCAAACAATAGTGATGCAGCTATGTTTTCCAAACTAAATATTTCATATCGTAATACTCCATCACTCGAATAATGCGACGCCATTAATAGCAATAGTTTTTTGAACTTCAACAATATTTTATTAGTACATAGTACAAATTTATTGAACAATTATCTATTAACTAATACATACTTTGATACCTTCAAGCGATCGCAACAAAAATCGCGCAAATATACCTACCAATTTCAAAGATTTTAAATTTTGTCATAATATGTTCATCAATGGCATATAAATGCCCACTGCTGAGCAAAGCCTCTTCTCAAACGAACAAGGTTTGAGCATTATAATCACCACGCTTGCTCAATGCGGGTTCGCGATTTCAAACTTATAGAAATTACTAGCTACTTCCGCGCGGTTGCACCCGCTCTGCTCGGCTCCTTATGATTGTAGCGTGATGTTTTGTAGCCTTCCTCGATAAATGTACTATCCAACAAAAAAAGAATTATTAAAATCGGACTGGTAGTTTCGGAGATTAGCGCGTTCAAACAAACAAACAAAAAACAAACTCTTCAGCTTTATAATATTAGTATACATAGTATAGAGAAGCCCAAGTTTCCTGACTTTTTTTTCCTTCACCATATTTTGTCAGTGGTGTCTAGATAATATTAGAAAGTACATACATGAAATGTCTAATATTTCCACCGCCAACGCTTATTTTCTTTTCATTGAAATATGAATTTTATGACAAACACTAATTGCTCTCTGAAAGTGTATAACTAGGAAAAAGTAACATTGGTACTTGCCGTTGGTAGATTTCGGCGCGCACCCTCATGCATGGGCAGCGGGCGTCTTAAACCTCCTAGCCACCATGACATATTATGTAATTATAGTAAAATTGTAACGGATCTTAGAGCACCAAATCCCAAAAATGTTATTCTGTCTGATCGTATGTCCGCACATAACTCTTAAAATACTGCATGAAAAACAATGTGGTTTTATCCGAGGTAAGGCTAAAAATCTCACAAAAATTACTGTTATGCAGTTTTGTCGCCCAAACGATCGCTTGAAGGTACAAATAAATATTAAATATACACAAAGACAACCATGCTTATATTTTTCGATATAAATAGATTAATTTATTAATATGTAATGTAATATTAAGAGATATAATATTTTGAACATACTGTATAGGCAATAATGGTTTAAGAATCTGTTCAGCAAATAAACATAAAGAGGACAGGAAGTGCTGCGTGTGCGCATACAACTAAACCTTATCGTCGATTGTTTTTGATGCAATATCATGTCTGGTACGTGAAAGTTATACTCGTTTGCACAAACCTTTTCGAAATTTTAAGAAACCCCTAAGCTAAGATAGGTGATACTTAACTTGGTGGTTTAACCTATAAGTGACTCTTAAAGTTTAGTTTAGGTGCTCCCCCCCACGCTAAGTAACTCTTACTTAGGGGATGATTTAGAAGTGGTTAGTAAAAATGGTCATTAGAATGATGAATTTGATATTAAAGACAATACTAGTCTTTAAGAGTTATCGTGATATGTGTATGTAATGTTTTCTTCCAAATAATTCATTTGTATGCGCAAACGCAGTATTAAAAGATTGGTTTTGTCTTTTATTTGTATTTTATATTATTAATGACACTGCTTTTGTACTACACGAAATATTTAAATGTCTATACAGCTTAATCACATATTATATTACTTTCGAGGATGCCTGATTAGTTTCGAGCCAGATCGGGGCTCTTAATCATGGGTTGAGATCGTATATCTATGTGAGTAAGCCGTACAAATTATATAATTTATTGTCTCACGATAGTTAAAAATATATTAAGAAATGAAATTGCACGGCCAAAACATTGTATTTAAATAATAATTTTAATTTATTTATTTTAATCCTTATTCATGTTAAGACAGAGTCGTAATTTCTTTGGACGGTGTTCGAGACGTTGTGACGTCATTGTTCTCTAGTGTCTTATATTGAATTATTTCACTTGTAACTATAATAATGTTGTATAATATGTATATTTTATTAAAATATGTACCTAATTGAAATTATTATTATTATATTTTTAACTTGATGCTTATGCTATGTTAATAAATAGTTTAAAAAGTTTGCTTTGTTTATTTTTCTAAGTAATTTCTGAGTCGTTGGGGTACTCTGCAACGACTCAGCTTGCTACTGCAAGCACTAATAAATGGAGTTCGATTCGATTCCGAACTTAGGTATGGCATGGATGTACTCCGTCAAATCCTATATTGCTACCAGTCGAGCAAAGTCTGGATCAAAAAAAGTGTTATTGTTTGTCGTTTTTTCGAATATATCTCAGTAATAGTACACAGTCTGGTATTGTGAATTAAAATGGCATAGAATCATCATGTATACTTCTGACTGTTGACGTAAGTAGTAAAAAGTATGCATTACATTCTACTGTTTCGCTTCGAATTCCCTTTCGAACCGCTAAGGAGTGGAATTATTTGCCAGAGTCTGTGTTTCCTGAAGGGTATAACTGGGTATCTTCAAGGTTCGAGTGAATAGGTTGCTTATAGACAGTCGTGCTCCATTATAAGCCACATCAATTACCACCTGCCATCTTATATCTTATACTCTTATATAAAGCGGAAGAGTTTGTTTTTTTGTTTGTTTGTTTGAACGCGCTAATCTCCGTAACTACAAGTCTGATTTGAATAAATCTTTTTGTGTTGGATAGTGCATTTATTGAAGATGGTTATAGGTTATAAAACATCACGCTACGATCAATAGGAGCTGAGCAGAACGTGTGAAACTGCGCGGAAGTAGCGAGTTTCATATAAAAAAAATTGTCCTATCACTAGGACAATGCCCGGTGAATGTACTATCAATAGGATCATCTGGTTATCTTCTATGTAAACACAATTCCTAGATATGAACTCTGTAAACTAGAAATCAAGGTAGCTTATCGATTACGATTAAATGTCTATACTTAATGATTAGATTAAGTATAATGATGTTTTAATTGGTGCCTCCAAATTTTTCCTTTCATCCATAATTAAGTAAGAACAATTTTTGGTATTTCCGTGACCAAAAAGGCGCACCTACATTCTTTTTTTTTTATTTATTAACGCTTAATGCACAAAGTGTACACAAGGTGGACTTAATGCCGCAGGCGTTTTCTCCCAGTTTGACCTTTGGGTGATGCAGAGAAGAGTGAATGGTGTAAGCAAGAAGCAAGCAACGATTTAATTGAGAAAATAGAAGATTATTACGTTTTCATCTGATGGTAAGCAATCGGAGTCGCCTATAAAATGTTGGAACACCAGAGGCGTTACAAGTGCGATACCAGCCTTTTGGGATTAGGATTTTGAGGATTGTTGGGGGTACAGGGATTGGAGAAGGAGAGGTAATTGAGCCTCCGATAACCTCACTCACACGACGGAACACAACACAAGCGTTGTTTCACGTCGGTTTTCTGTGAGGCCGTGGTATCACTCCGGTATCCGGTGAATTAGCCATGGGCCTCGAACGGTATACCTAGTTATGCCATTGGATGCTGCCGTACTTCAATGGCTGGTTGCAGTAAGGACATTATTATCACATAAGCCGTTCGACATCCACAGTCGAACATTGGCCACGAAAGACTTCTCAGATCGACCGGTTGCAAGAGAGACAGCACCCAGTAATATTCATAAGGCCATATCCTTGTCTTATATTAGGTTTACACCTAAACCCTTTGAGTACCATCATTAGCCATTTTTAGACATTTAGACAATTATTTGCGTAAAAACATGGTATACAAAGATGTTATAGTTACAATATACCTCTAATAGATCATCATGTTTTGCTTAATAAATAAAGCATGCAAATTTTAACTTGAAACTTATTTTAACTAACTTACACTCGTAGATTATACATTATTATTTATGTTCAAAAATTCCTTAATACTATAAAAAATATTTTCATTTAACCATACAATATATAATTTAATTTTAAATAGTCAGAGGTTAAGTGTTTTTAATGTTATCGGCAATTTATTAAATATTCGGACACACATACTTAGGCAGCTTTTATTATATTTTGTTAACTTAGGAAACTCCTCTAGTACTAGTCTGTGATGGTCGCGTCGACTTCTAGAACATACATCTTCTGCCGTTTTGAACAGTTCTTTATGTTTACGTACGAATATAGAACAATAGGTTGCGGTTACCGGTGTCCTCGTGGTGTTTGACAGTTTAAAAACGGATGAACAACCAGAATACCTATTCCCCTATCGTAACGACAAACACAAAGCTGACTCATGATAAAATATTCACTTATTATCTTCAGATTAGCTGCACATTATCGCTGATAATTGTTGATAGAAATATCGCGAGGTAATTCTTTAGTTTCGTGTATTTTGTTCACAATGGCTGTTACCCGCCGAGGTTATATTTTTGGTGCATTTGTGTCGGGTGTTACTGGTGTTCTGTTCATTGTTGTTGCATTGGCTAGTGATAGTTGGGTAAGCAGTGTTTACTTGTATGTATTATACCCATTAATTTACCTATAGATATAAGGTAGGTAACTTACAATACCTTTTTAGAACTTTTGAATAGTGTTAATCTGTTTAGGATATAAGTAGATTCTGTGTGTTAGGTATAGGTACACACAGAATCTACAGGTATTATTATAGTACCTTCATTAAATTAATTTGTTTACGATCCAAGATAGTTCATTTTAGTACCTATCTAGGTCGATTTTAGTGTACCTATCTACCTAAGGTATGACTTTTATTAATAAAGCAGTTTATCATACTTACCTAAGTTTATAAAATCTTGACAATCGTGACCACTGAATAAGTTTAGCTGTTGATAAAAAAAACAAAGATGAGAGTGATTTGTCGCAATTAAAATTCAGTTTTCACAATGTTGTAGAAGTTTTATAACGTACCTAAGCTGTGACGTGAAATTTACTAGTAGTAGGACATTAATTATAAAGTGATTAAGGTCATAAACAATTTACATTAGGGAGTGATGATTACCCACCTATCTATAGAAACCTACATGACAGTCAGCACGTAGATGTCACCTAGAGATAAATGACATATAATTGGTGATTCAATGTGTTGAAATCCGGTTGATCGCGTCACATTAACGATTAATAAATTATTTTTATAGTAAACTAGCTTTTACCCGCGGCTTCGCTCGCATCACAAAAGTATAAAAAGTACCCTATTATTTAATCCGGACTTCCAACTTTACGTCTGCAAAAATTCAAAGCAATCGGTTAAGTAGTTACGGCGTGAAGGTGGAACAAACAAACAAACAAACAAACTCACTTTCAGATTTATAATATTATTATTATTATTATAATATATTATATATTATATTATTATATTATATATATTATATATTATATATTATATATTATATTATATAAGTAAGGATAATAAGGATTAGTAAGGATGTCTAAAAATATTGAAATCTAGACACCTCGTAGAAAGAACAAGGCGTGTCTAGATATCATTGTGAATAATAGGTCTCCTCCCACCTAATGTCGTATAGCCGAATTACGATAATCCCAAAGTCAAAGTCAAAGTATTTATTTCAATTAAACCATAATTTGGTACTTTTGAAACATCAACAAATATAAAATAAATAATAGTCTGTCAGTCTGTGCGTCAGTTAAGCTAGGTGCTCATTCCAAAATGAAGATTCGAATGGAGAAGAACGAGTAAGAAACTCCATTCGTTACTCTTTTAAAAAGAATATATTATATAAGTAAGGATAATAAGGATTAGTAAGGATGTCTAAAAATATTGAAATCTAGACACCTCGTAGAAAGAACAAGGCGTGTCTAGATATCATTGTAGAATAGGTCTCCTCCCACCTAATGTCGTATAGCCGAATTACGATAATCCCAAAGTCAAAGTCAAAGTATTTATTTCAATTAAACCATAATTTGGTACTTTTGAAACATCAACAAATATAAAATAAATAATAGTCTGTCAGTCTGTGCGTCAGTTAAGCTAGGTGCTCATTCCAAAATGAAGATTCGAATGGAGAAGAACGAGTAAGAAACTCCATTCGTTACTCTTTTAAAAAGAATATGTTTATAGAAGAGGCTCATATACTCCAGTAGACACTATATTATGCCTCCTCTACAAACGAGGGCTTGCAAGCAGGATGGAGATTGAGAGATCGCAAATAAAATATCCAGCGTTATTAGAGAGCGGTATGGCCAGGCCTCAGTCAAATGTGCAGTCCCTTAGACCCTTACAGCCGGCAATAACGAATCTAATAATAGCTTACTTACTAGCTTTGCCTGCGTTGAATAGTTGAAAAGTGTACTCTTAACTATAGGTATATATAGGTATGTCATATTATAAAAGTTAACAAACAAACACGTTAGCAATTATGATACTCATTAGAATTGATAGCCATCAATTATTAACGTGGTAGAATTCAGTGCTGTATGCCGAATAAAACACTTTTCATTTCATTTCATTTCAGTGTAGGAGAGCCATGTTTCGGTATGAATGAGCCGGCTTGACCGGAGTGATACCAATGCCTCACAGAAAACTGACGTGAAACAACGCTTGCGTTGTCTTTCGTCATGTGTGTGAAGTTATCGGAGGCCCAATCCCCTAATCTTTCCAATCCCTGAATCCGCAACAATCCTCAAACTCCTAATCCCCAAAAGGCCGGCAACGCACTTGTAACGCCTCTGGCGTTCCACGTGTCCATGGGCGACGCCGATTGTTTACCATCAGGTGATCAGTCTGCTCGTTTACCGCTTATCACATAAAAAATTACATACAGAATTACGTCACATTACATTACCTACATTACAAAAACTGTGTAAGGAGGAAAACGTAGGCATGCAATTTATTTTATTTTAGGTATTTATCAAAATGAGCAATAAGTATCGTCAGATTATCGTCAGATCGTCGTAGATTAGGTATTAACATTTATTGAATTTTCAATAAAATTGATATCTCAACTCGACACAATTATTTCAGTTATCTCGTATTACAATAAGCCCAGAAGTATTATAATCTTTTCTCTGAAAACAAATGCAGGGTTATACTATTTACTGTCTATTGGCGGGCTTTCTATTTGTTAAACAACAGAATTGGAAAGAAATAGCTTTTATTGGACACGCACAGAAGTACAAAGATTATTAATAAAAACAAAATGACTTAAACAGAGTAAACAATTCTAGTCGCTGCAAATGTTGTTAACCATCACTACATAGTATGTAAATGACAAAGTCGCTATCCGCCGTCTATCTGTCCCTATGTATGCTTAGATCTTTAAAACTACGTAAGGATTTTGATGCAGTTTTTTTAAATAGATAGAGTGATTCTTAAGGGAGGCTTATTTGTAGAATACATGCATATTGCACCCGTGCGAAGCTGGGGCGGTTGGCTTGTAATTTCAATGGATTTTTTATGACATACCTTTTTTGAGGGTGGAATATCATCCAATGCCTTTTCAAGTCTTGGGTTAGGCGGGAAGGAGTGTCAGACTCTTATTGAGTAAAAGCCACCCCGTTCCTACTCCTGCTCTTCGAGCCGGAGCCCGGGTAACCCGTTAGGCCTTCCACACCTCCTAATCGGGCATCTTTCCTATTGTGCCCCATCCGTGGTGGTCTGATGTCTCTTTGACGCGCGTGCGGAACGCAACGTTCTACGCACAGGTCTGGTTCTGGTTCAGCGACGAGCTACCCTTGCTAGCCGTTCGCCGTTATGGCATACCTAGGCCGGACAACGAGGAGCAGATCGGACACCCGCAACACCAGATGAGTTACCCACCTTCTAAGTATAGGTGAGGATTGCGAACTGTAGACTGGGGATATTAAGTACTCCAGTACTCGAGTAATTTAACTCATACGACGGAACATACAGCAAGCGTTATTTCATGCCGGTTTTCCGCGAGGCCGTGTTATCATTCCGGTCGAGCCAGCCCATTCGTGCCGAAGCACGACTCTCTTACACTTGACTCTTGGTAATTCACCAGATTTTTTTAAGAAACGTTGTCCCACACTAGTATTTTCTCCTGTGTCGTGGGTGCGTTTACAAACATACAAGTTCACATATACATGACACCCAGACCCGAATCAACAATTTGTGGATCACACAAAGTGTTGTTCCGTGCGGGAATCGAACCCGCGACACGTTGCACGGCAGGCGGTTGCCCAGACACCGCATCAACCGTGCAGTCGAGATTGTCAGAGATTGTCTCCGGTGTACGTCAATAGACTAGGCTTAATGCTCTATACCCCCTTACATGGTTGGCATGGCAGCAGAGGGCGTTCACAGTCTGTAGAACAAAAGGGTCACACGGGATCACCACATTATTGGTGAAAAGTGGTTTTTACAGACACATACATACATGACATGATGAGATGCACATTACGACATTAAATGCCACTATACAATGTAACACCCACTTATCACTATTTATGTTATGATTCCCATGTAAAAGGGGGTTAGCCTATTGCCATACACTGGACAAATTTCCAGGCTCCGCGCTACTACTGAGAATTTCTTACAAAAGCCCAGTAATACTTTACCCGACCCGGGAATCGAACCCGATACCCTTTGCCCAGGAGTCGCACTTGCAACCACTCGGCCAACGAGGCAGTATTTACAAAATTATCCTTAAATATGCACCTCTGAGTTTAAAAGCCATGCTTTATGGTTATATAATAACTAGCTTTTACCCGCGGCTTCGCTCGCGTCACAAAAAGATAAAAAGTAGCCTGTGACATGTACCAATACACACAGCGCCATCTATACCAATACCTTTGTTTTCCCTCGGGAATATCAAAATTTTCCGGGATAAAAAGTACCCTAGTATTTCATCAGGACTTTTAACTTTACGTCTGCAAAAATTCAAAGCAATCGGTTTAGTAGTTACGACGTGAAAGCGGAACAAACAAACAAACAAACAAACTCACTTTCCGATTTATAATATTAGTAAGGATTTATACCACTATGTTTTCCAGGTGGTGTCAACGTTAAGAGTTCCGAGTCAGCAAGCAGCAAGCAATATTAGATATGGCTTATTTGGAGGAGAACTCACTTTGCGAGAAATGGCCACACCTCAAATGCATCCATTGCATAGTAAGTATCTACTCAAAGTCAAAGTCAAAGCATTTATTTCAATTAAACCATAATTTGGTACTTTTGAAACGTCAACAAAATTAAATACAAAATAAATAATAGTCCGTCAGTCAGTCCGTTAGTAAAGCTAGGTGAAGCTAGGTGCTCATTCCTAAATGTAGATTCGAATGGAGAAGAACGAGCAAGAAACTCAGAAAGCCATTCACTCGAACGAAGCGCTTCGCTTCTAGTTTCCTTGTGCGAACCGCTAAGGAGTAAAATTCGTTGCCATAATGTTTCCTGAAGGGAAACCTATTCACTCGTGCTTTGGCGAAACCTGGATGTCGCCAAAGCACGAGTGAATAGGTTGCTAAACTAAGTAAAATCGCGGGTTACTCGCGTAAATTTACTGAGAAAAGCTCTATTAGTTTCGAACCACAGAGAGGTTCTTCCTCATGAGCAGTGTGCGCGGTCGCGGCGACGTTGCGCAGCTCATTGTTCATAGCTCAGTGAGCAACCCGCGATTTTAGTTAATTTAGTATGTCTCACGATAAATATTATAAAAACAGAACAGGTTGCTTAAAATAGGCAGGCGTGCTCCATAGGCCGCATCATCGCTTACCACCAGGCGAGATAGGTATAGACCAAACGCCGACCCATTATAAAAATGTCTTGAAGATTTCTTCATTACGAAAATATAGACCTCAAGCCAGAAGCTAGCATTTTTAACGCCTTAATGAAACAGTTTGTATCCCAACATTTTGCGTTGATTTATGATATTAATATAGAATGATTTATGCTTTAATTAGGTCAGGTCAATGCATCATCGTCGGTGTACTGTGAATTAAATTTACCACGAAATTATATTTACGCAATTTTCATAGGAAACCACTGTATTGATGTTGAAATGATAACGTAATTTAAAAGGAAAAACTGAAATTTGTCTTGTAATAAATTGTCACCAAATATTTTTTTTATGGGATAAGCCGGTACCGACCTGACGGATCACCAGAGGCGTTACAAGTGCGTTACCGGACTTTCGGGGATTAGGAATTTGAGGATTGTTGGGGATTCAGGGATTGGGGAGATTGGGGATTGGGCCTCCGTTATCGTAACTCACACGACAAAATACTACGCAAGCGTTGTTTCACGCCGCTTTTCTGCGAGGCCGTGGTATCACTCCGGTCGAGCCGCCCACTCGTTCCGAAGTATGGCTCCCTATCATTAAAAAAAATATAAATATAATTCAAATGATAGATATGAGTACGTCTTCGGGGAATTGATTTTGTTTGTAACTGTTAGTCATCACTGGTTTGGGGGCTGATCTTATAGCGAAACATCAGAAAAAAAATCTGTTTATCATCATATATCTATCTGTCACTGCTAAACACAAACCTTTCTTGATGACCAATCTAAATTCCAATCAATATTCCCCAATTCATTTAATATAAATAATACAAAAAGCATAATATTTATTAACTATAAATTACGAGTTACTCACGTAAATATAAGCTAGTTTCGAGTCACAACGGGTTTCTTCCTCATGAACAGCGTATGCGGTCGCAGCGATGTCGCGCAGCCTACATCGAAATTAGTCGAGCTTTTCTCAGTATATTTATCTGAAAAACTCGTTATTTATAGTTATTTCAGCATGTCCCACGATATAGTTATTATTAACACACAATATTTATTGTCTAGCCAATGGTTCCACCCACGTTACCGGGATAAAAGTTACCTCATGTGTTATTTCCAGGCTGTAATCTGTCTCTGCATTAAATTTCATCCTGGTTCATTCAGTAGTTCTTCCTTAAAAGACATACATAACATAACATCACGCCTTTCATCCCCGAAGGGGTAGGCATAGGTGCACATTATGCCACTGTACAATGTAACATCCACTTTTCACTATTTATGTTATGAGTCCCATGTAATAAGAGGTGAGCCTATTGCCATATACCGGGCACAATTCCAGACTCCGTGCTACTACTAAGAATTTTTAAAAACCCCAGTAATACTTTGCTCGACCCGGGAATCGAACCCGACACCTCTTGCCCGGCAGTCGCACTTGCGACCACTCGGCCAACGAGGCAGAATCCTTAAAAGAGTAACAAACAACGTACATCTACAAAGTAGAATTTTTTTAAACATTCTTTTAAACACATTTTATAAAATCATGTAACACCAATCACCTCAGCCCGAACACGCTCCCTTCTCATCTGGATATAAAACGTACCTTAAAAGGGTTCACAAAACAAAATACCTTCACAAACTCGAAGAGGTCAAGTTCAAAGTGCTATTAATAAATCATTTTGATCAAAATTCACGTTGTTCCTAACAATACATTTTCAAATTTAATCTCGCAAAACTAATAACTTTTGTTAGGAGGAGTGTCAGCTTTTTTTGGGGCCACAAAGTTAGCGTATTGGAAAACGTAATCTGTTTCGCCCCAGCTGTCGACTCACAACCCAGCCATCCTGAGACGAGGCCAGATAGCCAGATTTGGAGAGATTCTGATTCTCTAACTCGCAGTACCTAACAGTATGGATTTTGGAAAGGGCACATGAAGTTTGGTTTTAGAACATACCTACTAATGACTTATTAGTCCTTTCTGGTAGGTGTAGATTAATGAGAACTTAGTTTTAGTAAACACCTATTTAAATCATTCTGCGTACACCTGCCGGGCACAACAGGTCTGTTGTTACATTATAATGTTACGCAGGAAGTATTCCACTATAAAATTTAACATTGGGCTTTTTGCCAGCGCAGCTGTTAAGCATGAAACTAAAGCTGGGGCGGCTGGAAAATTTAATAAAGCATTTTTATAGAAGTAATTTATTTTGCTAGCTGTTATATTATGTGTTTTCTCAGATGGTTACTTACTTTTACTTTTTCCGACTTTTCGAACTATATATTATATACTTCCGATATATCGTTATAGTACCGTCAGTTTGCACAAAATCTAATAAAAATATACACTAATTTTTTTCTCAAGTTTCGCTCTTTCTTTCTACACTGTATGAAAATCAGACCAGTACCTACTTCTTGAGTTTATCGCGAGTAGACAGACAGACAGACGCTGCGGGGGGACTTTAATTTATTATTTTGTAGTGTTACTACAAATCTAGATTATGACTAAGCAATGATTGAGATAATAATATTAAATTTAATGTTTTATAAATAAAAGTACTATTTACATACATACTTAACTTCACGTCTGTCTCTCATGGGGGTAGGCAGAGACTAGAGAACGCCAATTACTACGATTCCTACATACCTCTTTCGCTTCATCAACATTCATCAATCTTTTCATGCATGCTCGTCTATGCTATTTATATTTCCAAAATAATACTTTGGTCAATAACATCTTCCCAAGTCAGTTGGGTTGGTTAGGAGTCCGGTTTACTACATTACAACGATGCATTGCCATAAAAACCAATTAGGTAATCCGCTCTTTTCGCGGCCTAACGGCATAGAACAATTTAAACTACAACAATACAGTTTTTGTTAGCAATATTAGATAAATTCATCTTCGCCTGTCTTACCAATTTAAAACTTTATATCTTCGTATATTTACATTGAAAACAGGAACAATTAGGTGGAATGGCGAGATAAGGTGATTTGGCGAGGTAAACGCCGAGGTGATTCGACGAAGTAAATTAATTAAAACAACTTAAATTGCCAATGGCTCAATTCTTACCCTCCTTAATCCTCAAATCCCTAATCCCCAAAAGGCCGGTGAAACACTTGTAAGTTCCTCGGTGTTGCTGGTGTCTGGGCGGCGCCGATAGCTTACCATCACGTGATCTGTCTGCGCATTTGCCGACCGATACCATAAATATAACACTTAAGGGGTACGCAGATTACGGCAATTAATGCCACTGTACAATGTAATATCCACTTTTCACTATTTATGTTACGAGACCCGTGTAATAGGAGGTGAGCCTATTGCCATATACCGGGCACATTTTTCAGATTCCGTGCTGCTACTGAGATATTAAAAAAAAAGCATTAATCCGGGAATCGATTTATTAGTTAACAAAATTAAACATAGGTTTTTGTAAAGTCATGCTATTAATGAAAACAAATTAGTATGGCTTTTAGTTTGGGCTTGCGGACGGCGAGCTTGGGTGGCTCCCCGTCCGACCAGAAACAGACTCGAGCGTACGGCACGTCGCGTTCCGCGCGCTTTAAAGAGCCATCAGACCACCACAGATGGGGCCCAATAGGTCCGATGCCGATTCGGAATCGCGGAGAACCTAACGGGTTACCGGGGCTCCGGCTCGACGTGCAGGAGAAGGAACGGGGTGGTTTTCAGTCAGTAAGAGTCTGACACTACCTCCCGCCTCACCCAGGCGGGAGCAGCCATTCGATGATTTTCCCCCCTTAAAAAAAAACAAAAAATATACCTAATAGTTTTACTTTTACTTCCACTGGTTATTTAATATTGTACTTTTGTATAATTACAGTGACATGTGCAGTCGATGTGAATGCATGCGCTGTGAGCTGCAAGACAGAGCGTGAATCCAGATTAGTTGAGGTAATTAATTATTCATAATTAAGTATACTTAATCCTTAATTACTTAGCTAAGTAGGTAAATAGGTAATCAGAAGAAAATGAGAGCTTGCGCTCATTGACTTCTGATTAGGTACCTACATAGTTCGTCGTCATTGTACTTAATTTTTTTTTATTTTTGTTTTTTATGGCATAAGCCGGTAAACGAGCAGATGGATCACCTGATGGTAAGCAACCGGCGTCGCCCATGGACACCTGGAACACCAGAGGCGTTACAAGTGCGTCACCGGCTTTTTGGGGATTAGGAGTTTGAGAATCGTTGGGGATTCAGGGATTGGGGAGATTGGGGAAGGGGAAGGTAATTGGGCCTCCGGTAACCTCACTCACACGACGAAACACAACGCAAGCGTTGCTTCACGTCGGTTTTCTGTGAGGCCGTGGTATCACTCCGGTCGAGCCGGCCCATTCGTGCCGAAGCATGGCTCTCCCAGAATTTTAAACGGTGTACATACACTAGAATTTTCTCATTGTCGTAGTTGCGTTTTACAAACATATATGTATACAATTTCATTTACACATGACAACCAAACCCGAAACAACAATTTGTGGATTACATAAAGAATTGCCATTGCGACTGCCTCGTTGGCCGAGTGGTCCCAAATGCGACTGCCGGGCAAGGAGTCTCGGGTTCGATTCCCGGGTCGAACAAAGTATTACTGGGTTTTAAAAAACTCTGGAACTGTGCCCGGTATATGGCAATAGGTTCACCCTCTATTACATGGGAGTCATAACATAAATAGTGAAAAGTGGATGTTACATTGTACAGTGGCATAATGTGTACCTCTGCCTACCCCTTCGGGGATAAAAGGCGTGATGTTATGTTATGTTTTGTGAGGCCGTGATATTACTCCGGTCCAGCCAGCCCATTGGAGTCTAAACATGACGCTCCCCACACTTAATGATTGATCGTATAATAAAACGTCACATGCTTCCAGGTACGAGCTCTGGCCAATGGCTATCGGCCCACAGCCGCCTGCGGTGGAACCACTGAAGTCGACACCAGCAACCCATGTAAGTACCAAAGGTCTTGTAATTTAAGTCTTGTGTACCCCACAAAAAGGATCATTTTGTATTGCGAGTTGCGAGTATGGCTCTTTATTCAATAGATCACTTGATACACTGATGCATTTTTAAGTTTTTATTTTGATTTAAATGTACTATGATTTCTGAATTAATTTACATCTTTCTTCTCAGTGCCTTTAGCCAAACGCCACTTTAGCGCTTGTCTACAGAGAGAGTAGAAAACTTAATGTATGGGGATGACACTGACAAGTGTCAAAATTTACGTCAATTCCATATAATTTATTTTTCTACTCTACAAGTAGACAAGCGCTAAATGGCATTTGGCTACAGCTGCTGAGTACTAAGAAAGTACTGAACGAATTCAGCTTTTATATTTTAATGCTGACTTGCAGTTGCGCTCACAATCACCCGGATTTTGATTTAGTAAAAGTTTAACAGTATTTTGTCAAAAGCCTACAATAGGCGGCCTACAAATGACAAATGCTTAAAGTGCTCCCTGACAGCATTAATGTGTAATGTAACATTCTAGATTCGACTTTGAGCATTACATTACAATAATACCTCCCTGACTAACGAGCATTTGCGTGTAATGCAACAACGAGCATTTGCGTGTAATGTAATATATTGATTCGACTTTGAGCATTTCATAGCAAGATGTCAGACGAAGCGGGCGGGCGGGGGACTGGGGAAGTGAAGCATTGATATTACAAGCTGCATCAAGATATTACACATTGTGTCATTACAAGGTGCGCATTGTAATGCTCGGTTCTCCTCCTACACTGATGTAATGCTCAGATCTGTAACGTTACATTACACACGAATGCTCCCGGTGAAGGAGCACCTTTACATCTTGCTTAGAAACAACGAAAACTGGCTACGAAACGGCAATCGTAGGCCAACTATCGTCATTTGTAGATTGAATTTATTTATTTATTTAATAGGTACACAAAACAGAAACACAGCGAAATACACAACAGAATAACAATACCAAACTGTAAATGGCAGACCATGCTTCCACAAGTATGTGCACACAGCATGACATGCAACGACTAGTATTTATTTATTAATAATTATTTACAATGAACTATAATCCAGAACAAAATTAGAGATAATTTGTAATAATAAGGAGAATTAAGAATGAAATTAAACCATGAATGCCAATTGATGCGTCGTCGTTGTAAACCTAACCCAAATCTCGAGTAGTTCCATTGACGTTCTTTATTTGAGACTCCTAACTTACACAAAAACTAACATGATGTTTATTTATGTCCACAGTGGATACCACACCGGTGATCTCATTTGCGTTCTACGTGATCCTGACAACATTGCTTGTCATTGACCTGGTATTGGGTGTGGCAGCAGCTGGTCTGGCAATCTTGAACGCTACTAAAAATCCCACGGAACCAGTGTTTGGATTACCTGGTAAGTGCATAAAGAACCTGCGTCTACATCTGGCGTATGCTCCGCGAATGCCCAGCTTCCGAGTCACCCGCGAGATGCGCACGTGCATTTAAAATTATTATTTACTAGCTTTTACCCGCGGCTTCGCTCGCGTCACAAAAGGATAAAAAGTAGCCTATGTGACATATATCAATACACACAGCGCCATCTATACCAATACTTTGTTTTCCCTCGGGATTATAAAATTTTTCCATGATAAAAAATCCCCTATTATTTAATCCGGACTTATAACTTTACGTCTGCAAAAATTTAAATCAATCGGTTTAGTAGTTAAGGCGTGAAAGCAGAACAAACAAACAAACAAACAAACTCACTTTCCGATTTATAATATTAGTAAGGATAGTAAGGATACGAACCTTGTATGAGTTGATCACCAAACAACCCGCACCTACGGCGGCCGGAGATCGTCCCTTAATCCCCGACGCCCGGAGTGTCTCCCGCGACGGCTGGGGCGTAAGGAGGTTTGTTCCCTCACGCGCTTCGCCTCCTCTTTGGCTAGCATGACTGCTTCGTAGAAGGAGGAGACGGCATCCCAGTCCCCCTCGCTCCGCACCATGGCCTGAACTAGAGCCGGAAGCGAGAGGTCGCCGTCGCCGATCAGCAAAAAAAAAAACAACCTACAATATGAATTGGACTCGGAATCTGACTTTAAAAAGTCCCAGAACTAAGTCTAGCGATGTTCTTGTGTTTAAAATGACCTTTATATACCAATAAAACTTAATGAATGGTCTTCTTGCTTAATAAATCGTACTTCTCTTCCAGGATGTCTTTGGACCAACGTAGCGGCGGCCTTAGTGGGGATAACGGTGATGTTAATGTTTGGCATATATTGGTTAACGTCAGGACTGAATGAACACTTGGCTATATCATATATCGCTTTGGGATTATTCACACCAGAAGCAGGTCTTGGATTTTCTTATTGGTAAGCATTTTTACTACATCAAATGCTTTTAAGTCTTCTTTATTCTGATTTTAGAAAGAATATGACAATCTTTTTAAATCGATGGTCTTTACATTATTAACTAAAAATAACGGTTTATAATATCGGCACCGCGACCGCACACGTTGTTCATAAGAAAAGAAAGAAAATTCTTTATTTCACACTCTAAAAACAGGTGACATGTATAGATTATATTGTTAGTTTATAAATACTTGGGTGCATGTTCATGTTCCAAGTCTGCGGTGAAATAGGACCAGGTCAGCATGTGTAAGACAGAGCCTTACACTGGTATTCTACTGGCTTAAGTCACTCGCGGACGAACAAGCCCACAGTCAGATCCAATGAGGAAGAGTTCCTCTGTGAATCGAAACTAGTACTCACTTTCTGAATACGCAAATATACTGACTTTCTCTCAGTATATTTGCGTGAGTAAACCGTAATTTTTAGTTCATTCTTTATGTCTTACGATAGTGATTATAAAAAGATATCTACATATTTATGTTTCGTTAGAACTTTAACTTTTGCAAATTATTCAAATTAATCAATTTTTTTTTCGAAAAAAATTACAATTCTTTATTACACTTGGTTATATTACTAAGGGTTCACGATAAGAAAAGTCAAGTTTTTTATTTGTAGCGTGAAATATATGGCTTCTGCCTATATGTAAACTGGAAAGAGAAGAGGGACAGTTCGACTCAAAAGGACTAAGAACTACCTAAGAATACTCTTAAATTACTTACTCGCTGCACGCTAGCGTGTCGCTGCACGTAAGCGGCTGCATAACGTGTCGCGGGATCGAATTCCGCACGGAACAATTTTTTGTGTGATCCAGAGATTATTGTTTCGAGTCTCAGTATTATCTGTATGTGAAGTTCTATTTATATAAACGCACCCACGACACAGAAGAAAATCCTAGTGTGGGGTAATGCCTTAAAAAAAAATTAAATAACATTATTAAATGAAATACAGGAATAATGATTATTCATATAACTGTATCTGTATCTGTATCTAAATCCGAAATGTTATACCCACAACGGTAGTAGAGTTAACAATAGTTTATAGTTAGTGAGGCTACTGTTTTGGGTAACTAGTGCCGGAATACTGAAACGTTACTCAATTTTAAGTCGTGCTTAAATATCGTGCCGTCTCTGTCATTTTACAAACAATTTGTAGAGACAGAACTATAATTAAGCGCGACTTAAAATTGAGTAGCGTTTGAGTATTCCGACATAGGATACTAATGCTTTGTTTAAAAGAAGAATTCAAATTCTGTTGTATTTTTGTTTTTTTCAGGTTGTTGCTAGGTGGCTGTCTTTGTTTCATAGCTAATGTAGTCCTCATGCAGACAAGAGCGTACCTCTTAGAACGGGACCCTCCTCCGCCAATTATTGATATTCAAAACCATTCTGATGGAACCATATTCTTGTATTAAAATGAATTGAGACTATGATGTTTGAATAAATGTATTGATGAAATATTTATATTGATGATAGTTGATGTCTTTGTAGAAGCACGCTTGTATTTGTGTTGTGAGCTGAAACGAGTAAAAAATAAGTACAACTTTGGTCTATTTAACTCGTCAAAGAAGAAATGCTTCTAATTCTAATTTATTTCATAGTAACCAATTATAATAACTAGTATATATCCAAGAATATGATGCACGGTTGGTGCGGTGGCTGGGCAACTGGCTGCCGTGTAGCATGCCGCGGGTTCGATTCCCGAATGGAACAACACTTTGTGTGATCCACAAATTGTTATTTCGGGTCTGGATGTCATGTGTATGTGAACTTGTATGTTTATTATCGCACCCACGACACAGGAGAAAATCCTAGTATAGGGCAAGGTGTTTCTTGATTTTTTTTAAATAAAAGAAAGTTGTTGTATTTATAAACACTACTACAGACTTTTTACTGTTATATTGGTTGTAAGTTTGTTACCAATGATCATACAAAAATGATTTGTTTGCTTTCAAAATAAATTAAGTAAAATAACGCCTATTTTTCCAGTATAAACTGATTTTTACGATAATCGGCTTAATCACCGGGGAGGTCAAAAAAAAACAAAATGTTTAAGTGTATTGTGAGGTCGTTTTTAGTTTTATGAGACAAACTGTCCGTTCTCATGTTCCAGTTTTAATAGGAAGTAATTCACAGATATTTAAAATACCACCAGTAAAAAGGTGGGTTTTCTGATCGTGAAACCCTTAGAGGAATAAGTTATACATTACAAAAACCTTTATTACACTTGGTTATATCGTATAACCTAGTGTAATAATGAGTTAATTTTTTTTTCTATATACAATATTGTGTTGAAATTATTAATTTTAAATTTAGAATATTATAACGTAGCACAAATTTTAATAAATGTAAAGATAATCGAGATAATAACCAAGTGTAATAAAACTTTCTTTGTTTTTTCTACAAATAACTGACAAATGACTTGAATCGAGTACTTAATTTTAAAATTCGAATATTCTACCGAAACATAAATAAATAATGATTATCGAGATAAAAAACTGATTCAAAAGAAGGTTTATTATCTTTCATAAAAAAACCTCACAATAGCTTAAAAATTCTGTTTTTTTTTTCAGGTTGTTACTAGGTGCTTGTCTCTGTTTCATAGCCAACGTGGTCCTCATCCAAACAAGAGCATACTTCTTGGAACGAGATCCTACACATTCTTTCATCAATATTCACGAATCCTCTGATACAACAGTTGGTATATACTGATGGTCAGCAATTAGCTTCATAATAAATCTTAATAAACACTTATCATTGAAAAAAATAATACTCTGTTTAGTACGTATTTAATAAAACCTTTTCCGTTCATGCAGTGAGACTGTGGAATGCGCTCCCGCCTAACATTCGGGACGCTGAGTCTATCGCTATCTTTAAAAAACGAGTGAGAGAACACTACCTTTCCTCCTGATATGTAAATTTCTTCATTTATATGTATAGTTTATATTTTGTATGTATTTATTTATATATTATATGTAGTTGTTTGGTTATTTATCTGTTAGTTAGTTTTAAGTCTGTTTCCTATCCCAATTTTCTATTTGTTACTACACACTGTGTCATTATAATTTATTACTACTTTTCCTGCTCCAGGTCCACAGGAAGAAATTCCAATAGGAATATGTGGTACCTTTGTACTTTAATTTTATGTATGTGTTGTCCTTTATGTTGTATGTATGTGTGTACATAAATAAATAAATAAAATAAATAAAATTTAATGTACATATGTACTAGCGAAAGTGTGTGAGAACCATGCTTTGTCACGAATGGGCCGGCTCGACCGGAGTGATACCACGGCCTCATAGAAAACCGTAGTGAAACAACGATTGCGTTGTGTTTGGTCGTGAGTCCAATTACACCTCCCCCCCCCCATCCAATCTCCCCAATCCCTGAGTCCGAGCCGATAACGCACTTGTAACGCCTCTGGTGTTTTAGGTGTCCATGGGCGACGCCGATTGCTTACAATCGGGTGATCCGTCTGCTTGTCGTTTACCGCTTATCCCATGAAATAAAGAAATATTTATATTAACGGCTAGTCTCTATGTGTAGGTTGTAACACGACGCGAGTAAACACTTTTCATTTCGCTTGAGTCAACTCATCGAACAAAATATTTTCAATTATTTGGTTTAGGTTTAACTACCTTATATACCTACCTTATACTTAATTCTTTATATTTTATTTCTTCCTTATTTTCTAATTAGTTCAACTTATTTTGTGATTTGTAAATAATTATGTGGTTTAATAAATATGTTTTTTGTACGATGTTGCCTTTCAATTACCATTATGAATTACACAATTACGTGAATAGTAAAAAAGTACAAAAGTCTATTCACTTTAAATCAAGCATAACATTATCACGCTTTTTTTTGAGGGGGGAAAATGATCCAATGACTTCTCCCACCCGGGTGAAGCGAGAGGGAGTGTCAGACCCCTACTGACTTAAAACACCCTGTTCCTACTCCTGCACTTCGAGCCGAAGCCCCGGCAACCCGTTAAGTCTTCCGCGGCTCCGTATTGGCATCAGCCCTATTGGCCCCCATCTGTGGTTGCGCCGTACGCAACACCATCACACTTAGGTCCACATTACGGCACTTAATACCACTGTACAATGTAACACCCACTTTTCACTATTTATGTTATGAGTCCCATGTAATAGGGGGTGAGCGTATACTTTAAATCAAAATCATTGTCAAATTCGTTTATGCATAATGAAAAACTTTTAATGTCAGTAAAGTTGAACAAAAAAAGTAATTTTCAAGTGACCGATCTGACTTTACGAATATTTGCATAGAAATAAGAAAATAACAACTTTGTTACAGACTTTCTTGAATTAAACGTGGGAAGTTTGTATTTCAGATGTTTTCGTACGGGTTTTTTAACATTCTCGCTTATTACTACTCGTTGGGGTAAGTAGAGAGGGAGAGAGAGAGTAAGAGAACATATGCAATGGCTGTTAATTATGTTACTAATCCTATTAGCTCCACACAATCTATCATCATGCCTTTTATCCTTGAAGGGGTAAGCAGGGGTGAACATTACAGCACTTATAGCCACTATACATAATACATAACATCACGCCTTTTATCCGCGAAGGGGTAGGCAGAAGTGCATATTACGGCAATTCATGCTACTGTACAATGTAACACATACTTATTACTATTTTGTTATAAGTCCTATGTAATAGGGGGTGAGTCTATCGCCACATATCGGACACAGTTCCAGACTCCGAGCTAGAGAATATTAAAAAAAAACCCAGCAATAATTTTCTCAATCCAGTAATCGAAGCCAACACCCCTTGGCAACGTAGCAGTCACACAAAAGGTGTCAAAATTCCTACAGCTAAATCTACCGGGTCTGTTATTGAGACTGGCCATTAGAATTCCGCCAATAAAAGAGGAAGTGTTTAATAATCTAATCGTACAGGTACACAAGGCTACACATCGAGCTTTACATAACCAGTATAAACTGAACGTTAAATGTGCGGAAAGATGATGCGACGCGACACCAGGATAAACTGGTTTTGTGTAGATTGATGTGGGGCCGTGTGTACAATGTCCTACTATTGGTTGATTGCATGCAAATTGGAGCTGGCGGGACGGACATGAATGCTGAAGTGGTGTAAGGCATGAGAGATGGAGAGCATACCTCATTGACTTAATAGATCTTAGGTATGGGATATTTACAAAACTGCTTGTTTACGTGAACTTTCTCGAACGTTCTGGTGTATTTTCCCCTAACAATGATGATCTACATATCCCATATTATTATGTTATGGTGATTTTGTCGTGTGAGTGATGGTATCGGTTACCTTCCCCAATCTTTCCAATCACTGAATACCAAACAATATTCGGCGGGCCGGTAACGCACTTGTAACGTCTCTGGTGTTCCAGGTGTGGACGACGCCGATTGCTTACCATAAGATGATCCGTGTGTCCATTCACCGGCTTATCCCATAAAACAATATTTAGGAACGTAGGAGAAATACGTATTTTTGTTATTAATTATACGTCCGCGGCTTAATATTTGTTTGAACACACTAACTATATCCAAATAATATGCATCATTATCATCATCATCGGCAGCCCCCTCATAGTGATAGACGATGGACCTCTTCTACAGAAGAGGGTTTATCACAACCATCACATTTGGGGCATTTTAAAAAGCCGGTAAAGCACCTGTGACTCCTCTGTGCACTGATCGCTTACCAGGTGATCCGTCTTCTCATTTGCCTCCTATTCCATAAAAAATATTAGAAGGTTTAGGTTTATGAAAGGTATAACACAAGTTCAGCGTCGAATTTTCAAAATCGATTATTCTTTCCAAAATCTATAGTAAACATCATTTCCTTAACATTAAAATATACGGCCGCTCAATCAACGATAATTTTTTTTATTTTTATAAAAATTTGAAATTCACTTCTATCAAAATTATCATCATTTTCTTATCTGTGCCATAAATTGTACACCTGTGTTGAATATAATGCAGTTCTTATTGTATTATTAATACCTACATCCTTTATCTTTTCCTTTAAATTAATTTACATAAACCCAATTGCTGTGCGATTGGAATTTGTATCCTAATCGAGGTGAAACTAAAAAGATAAGATTATATAAATGTCACGGTCAACTCACAAATCTGATTGCGCTGAAAATTAACGTTTCATAAATAATAAGTAGGTACGTGAGATAAAGAAATCATACGTGGCAGTCATGGGAGCCTTTGCGTCTACCAAGTTAGACCTGGGATTAAGCATCTGAACCGAGGTGATCTGATAAAGAACAAACGTTGGTGATGTTATGTAATGTCGATGGAAACTAAAGCAAAAGACAAAAAATAATATCTATGACCGTTGGGATAGACATCTTCTGGAGAGGACGTAAATAGATGATGCATGATAGATGATGATGATAGGCACTTGATGTTTTGCGCGTGTTGCCACGCCTTTTTTTAAGGAGGGAAAATCATCGAATGACTGCTTTCGCCTGGGTGACGCGGGAGGGAGTGTCAGACTCTTACTGACTAAAAACCACCCCGTTCCTTCTCCTGCACGTCGAGCCGAAGCCCCGGTAACCCGTTAAGTTCTCCGCGACCTATTTGTTATGCGATAATATTATTTAAACATAACATAACATCACGTCTTTTATCCCCGAAGGGATATGCAGAGGTGTACATTATACCACTGTATAAAGTAACACCCACTTTTCACTATTTATGTTATGAGTCCCATGTAATAGGGGGTGAGCCTATTACCATGTACCGGGCGCAATTCCAGACTCCGTGCTACTACTGAAAATATTAAAAAACCCAGTAATACTTTGCCCGACCCGGGAATCGAACCTGAGAGCCCTTGCCCGGCAGTCGTATTTACGACCACTCATAACTTGATCATACCACTTATAACTTGCGTCATAAGTGAAGTAAAGATAGATCCAAAATTCGGCCGCTGGGCGCAGACAGCCCAAAGCAATTTTGAGTTCGTCATCAATCATTTCGCCGGCCCAACCGAATGTGTTAAAGGCATGTTACGTTCGAAAAAAAGGTAGAACATTATACTTTTTTTTATTGGCAACTCCTAAAACTTGGCCTGAAACAGATTTTTGCTGGGAAATGAGAGCGTTTCGTCATCGCGTTAATGATTTTAAGTTTGTTAAAGTTGGTCCATTAGGGGATGTGAAAGAGTGGTTGTATATTCTAATTAGGTGGTCGAAAATTCAGGGAAAATTCAGTTTTTGTTTTGTTTTTTAACTATTGTACGCTGTATTTGACAGTAAGTGTGTCCCCTGCTAAATGGGACTAGCATAAGTTAACCGCTTGGAGAATTGGGATGATGACAGGGTATGAAAATTAAAAATCGAATTAGTCCGTAGGTTAGGTAATGAAAAAATATTAGACACGTATTTTTTTTTGTTGTATAATAAAACAATACTTAGATGAAACGAATCAAAGTTTAGGAGTGGGGGCTAAAACGTCATTTCTACGTATAAAATGTACATAGAAGTGACGTCACGCGACATTTCAAATCAATATACCGTCGAAAGTATTCGTTTCTGTAAGAAAATAAAAAATATGTGTCTAATGATTTAAAATAATCTACCAGACAGACATTAAAATTAGGCATCTTCCCTATTGTATATTAGGCATCTACCCTATTGCCACAGAACGTGTAACGTAACGTATAAATAATATAACTGGCGAAAATTTAATAGTGCATAAA